CACGCCCCTCCCCCCACACGCCCCCTCCCCCCACACTCCCCCTGCCCCCACACGCACCCCTCACCCCACACGCCCCTCCCCCACACGCCCCCTGCCCCCACACGCCCCCTGCCCCCACACGCCCCCTCCTGTGCACACTCCCCCCCTCCCCCCACACACCCCCTCCCCCCACACGCCGCCTCCCCCCCACAACGCCCCTCCCCCCACACGCCCCGTCCCCCCACACGCCCCCCTCCCCCCACACGCCCCCTCCCCCACACGCCGCCTCCCCCCCCACAACGCCCCCTCCCCCCCCACACGCCCCCTCCTGGGCACACGCCCCCCTCCCCACACACGCCGCCTCCCCCCCACGCGCCCCCTCCCCCCACTCGCCCCCTCCCCCACGCGCCCCCTCCCCCAACGCGCCCCCTCCCCCCACGCGCCCCCTCCCGCCACACGCCCCCTCCCTCCACACGCCCCCTCCCCCCCCACACGCCCCCTCCTGGGCACAACGCCCCCTGCCCACACACGCCCCCTCCCCCACAACCACGCCGCCTCCCCCCACACGCCCCCTCCCCCCACACGCCCCCTCCCGCCACAACGCCCCTCCCCCACACGCCCCCTCCCCACACACGCCCCTCCCCACACACGCCCCTCCTGGGCACACGCCCCCTTCCCCCACACGCCTCCTGCCCCCACACTCCCCCTCCCCACACACGCCCCCTCCTGGGCACACGCCCCCTCCCTCCACAAGCCCCCTCCCCCCACACGCCCCCTCCCGCCACACGCCCCCTCCCTCCACAAGCCCCCTCCCCCCACACGCCCCCTCCCGCCACACGCCCCTCCCGCCACACGCCCCCTGCCCCCACACGCCTCCTCCCCCCACACGCCCCCTCCCTCCACACGCCCCCTCCCTCCACACGCCCCCTCCCTCCACACCTCCCAGGAGCAGCCTCAGGTCTCCCCTTCTGCCCCCAGGAGCTCGCTCAGGTGGGACCCAGCCGACCACCTGCAGGTGCTGGTGGCTTCCCCACTGACTAAGGGGCGGCCTCAGCTCCTTGTGGGTCCCCTCCCGTCTCAGGAAGTCTGCGGGGGCCTCCGCGGGTCCTGGCCTCCGCCTGCCATCCCATTGCTCCCTCGGGGCCCTCCAACCCCTGCCCCCTTCTAAGATGGGCACCAACACCCAGTGCCCAGGTCCCTCCACCACATCCCGATTCCTCCAAACCCCCTCCCTCCTCCCTGCACACAGTCCTCCCTGCTAGTCACTCCCCCCTCCACCCCTCAGGTCTGAGTGCCCCCTCTCGTCCCCCTACCTCCCTCCTCGACCTCCCTCCCCCCGACCTCCCTCCCCCGGACCTCCCTCCCCCGGACCTCCCTCCCCCCTGACCTCCCTCCTCGACCTCCCTCCCCCCGACCTCCCTCCTCGACCTCCCTCCCCCCGACCTCCCTCCCCCCCAACCTCCCTCCCCCCGACCTCCCTCCCCCGGACCTCCCTCCCCCCTGACCTCCCTCCCCCCGACCTCCCTCCTCGACCTCCCTCCCCCCGACCTCCCTCCCCCCCGACCTCCCTCCCCCCGACCTCCCTCCCCCGGACCTCCCTCCCCCGGACCTCCCTCCCCCCTGACCTCCCTCCCCCCTGACCTCCCTCCCCCCGACCTCCCTCCCCCTGACCTCCCTCCCCCCGACCTCCCTCCCCCATGACCTCCCTCCCCCTGACCTCCCTCCCCCCGACCTCTCTCCCCCCGACCTCCCTCCCCCCTGACCTCCCTCCCCCTGATCTCCCTCCCCTGACCTCCCTCCCCCTGACCTCCCTCCCCCAGACCTCTCCCCCCCTGACCTCTCTCCCCCCGACCTCCCTCCCCCTGACCTCCCTCCCCCAGACCTCCCTCCCCCCTGACCTCCCTCCCCCATGACCTCCCTCCCCGACCTCTCTCCCCGGACCTCCCTCCCCCAGACCTCCCTCCCCCTGACCTCCCTCCCCCCTGACCTCCCTCCCTCCCTCCTGACCTCACCTCCAAACCTAGGAATCCTCAAGTCCCACAGCCCAGCTCCCTGCGGCCTGACACCCCGACTCCCTTCAGCACTCCTCTGATCCCGTCACACACTGGCCCTCAGAACCGGACGGGCAGGGACCCTCCTCTCAGAGCCCAAACCCAGCCCCATCTGCCCACACCCACCGCGGTTCAGCCCCCGGCACCCCAGGGTGCCCTCCCAGCAGGATCAGGGCGCCCAGCACCTGCAGGTCCGGGTCCTCCCTCCGGGCCCTCCTCCATCGGGCAGCCCGGAGGCCGCCCCCACAGGGCCTGGGACGGGCGGTCTCTGCCTGGGCGGGCGCCATGTCAGGGCCGGGGCGGAGGGCGGGCGGGCAGCTGACCCCTCTGGGTCTGACCCCGCAGGCCCCACGGAAGCCAGGGTGGGCAGGCCTCGTCCCCAGGCGGAAGCAAAGGGCCAGCACTTCCGGCCACAACCAACCGAGGCCCCGTCCCAGCCCTGCAGGCCACAGCGCCCGCTCATGGGACCAGGGCCCCGCCTGGGGTCTCTCCCGGGGCCCCACCTGGGCTCTCTCCCGGGGCCTCACCTGGGGTCTCTCCTGGGGCCTCACCTGGGGTCTCTCCTGGGGTCTCTCCCGGGGCCTCACCTGGGCTCTCTCCCGGGGCCTCACCTGGGGTCTCTCCTGGGGCCTCACCTGGGGTCTCACCTGGGGTCTCCCGGGGCCTCTCCTGGGGCCTCACCTGGGGTCTCACCTGGGGTCTCTCCCGGGGTCTCTCCTGGGGCCTCGCCTGGGGTCTCTCCAGGGGTCTCACCTGGGGTCTCTCCCGGGGTCTCTCCTGGGGTCTCTCCCGGGGTCTCTCCTGGGGTCTCTCCCGGGGCCTCACCTGGGGCCTCTCCCGGGGCCTCACCTGGGGCCTCACCTGGAGTCTCTCCTGGGGTCTCTCCCGGGGCCTCGCCTGGGGTCTCTCCTGGGGTCTCTCCCGGGGCCCCGCCTGGGGCCACCCGGGGTCTCTCCTGGGGCCTCACCTGGGGCCTCACCTGGGGTCTCTCCCGGGGCCTCACCTGGGGCCTCACCTGGAGTCTCTCCTGGAGTCTCTCCCGGGGCCTCGCCTGGGGTCTCACCTGGGGTCTCTCCCGGGGCCTCACCTGGGGCCTCACCTGGGGTCTCTCCTGGGGTCTCACCTGGGGTCTCTCCCGGGGCCTCACCTGGGGCCTCACCTGGGGCCTCAGAGGCAGTCGGAGGGCACGTGGGCCATTAAAAGTCAGGACAGCCAAAACCGGTGTGGCTCAGTGGTGGAGCGTCGGCTGCGGACTGAAAGGTCCCAGGTTCGATTCCAGTCAAGGGCATGTACCTCGGTTGCAGGCACATCCCCGGTAGGGGGTGTACAAGAGGCAGCTGGTCGATGTTTCTCTCTCATCAACTTCTCTAGCTCTCTCTCTCTCTCCCTTCCTCTCTGTAAAAAATCAATAAAATATATTAAAAATAGAGTCAGGACAGAGTGGGGCCAAGGTCCTGGGTGAGACCAGGGCGGCCAGGGAGGCCAGCCAGGCGGACTGGGGTGTCCTGGGCCAGTGAACCCCGTCTTCCCCATCCACACCAGATCCCCCGACAGGGCGACGGGAGCCTCCGGCAGGGCTGCCCCTCCCCCAGCACCCCCATGGCCGCCCCCGACCCAGGGCAGCAAGGCTGCTCCAGGGGAGACATCGCACCCGGCGGGACCCCGAAAGAGGCAGCCGGGAGGTCAGGGCACTCTCCTGACCCCAAACTGCGAGCCTGGGGTCAGGAGCCACTCTCTGTCCCTGTGGGGCTCCCCGGGGCCGGCCAGTCGGGGACAGCACAGACCAGCTCCGGCCTCCCAGGGCGGAAGCGGCTGGCCTGGCCCGACACACAGAGCCACGGGGGCTGGGCCTGCAGGCCTCACACTCCTAAGACCTCACTGCACACTGTCCCGCCCCCGTGCCCCCCGCACGCCTCTGATCCAACCCTGCCCCTGCCGTCTTCCTAAGGAGGCATCTGCCTGCTCCCCTCTGGGGCGCCCGCGGCCCACGCTGCTGCTGGGAGGTGTGGAAGGGCCAGGCCCAGGACGGTGAGGCCTCGGCCTGGTCCCTGCACCAGAGGAACGTGATCCCAGAGCAGCACCTGTGAACCGGGAGGTCACGGAGGAGCCCCGTCAGGACACACGCCGGCTGCAGGCTCCACCCCAGGGAGCAGGCGGCGGCCGATCAATGATTTGCTCGCTCTCCCCCTCTCCCTCCCTCTCGGAAATCAATAAAAACATATTAATAAAAAAGACCAGGCCGCTCCGAGGCCAGACCCCGCTGGCGGTGAGCATGGGGAGGGAGGGGTGCAGGGGGTGACGCGGACACCTGCCCTGGGGGCCCTGTGACCTTCGGCCACACCCCGAACCGCTGCTGGAGGAAACGCTCCAGGGAACCCTCCAAGCCCCAGCTCCAGCTCTGAGAGGTTGGCACAGACCCTCAGGGGCCAGGGGTCAGGGGCCGGGGTCAGGGGCCGGGCCATGCCACGCGAAGTGCCCAGGCCCCACCATGCTCCGGGCCACCTGAGATGTGAAACCTCTCCCAGGCACCATGCAGGCACCAGCCAGGGCGACAGCCCCCAGAGGCCATCGGACCCCCTGGGTCTGACCGGCGCCCAGGTCACACCACAGCGCAGTGGGCACCAGAGCCCTGTGCTCCCTGCCTCCCCCGGGTGCCAGGCTGCCAGGGCCAGGCCCACTGTGGGCACCAGGGTGTCGACACCAGGGCCAGGCGGGTGAGCTAAGGCTGGGCCCGTGCTCCTGGCCTGAGGTGCCCTCGGACACTGCTGCAGAATCAGGGGCTTAGGAGCACGTGTGGGCCTGCGAGGCGGGCAGGGACATGTGCCCCGCATCCTGGGGGTGCCCCTGGGGATGGGAACCGCTGAGATTGGAGGGCTCTCTGGAACAGCGGCAAGGGTCCCCACCCTCCCCAGCATCTCTCACACACACTCCTCTCCCCAGGACGCAGACAGGCAGCACTGAGACTCCGGGTACAAAACTGTAAACGTGAGTCTTTAAAACGACAGAGGCCTCCTGGCCCCCAGCTCTGAGCCAGAGGCCCCAGGAGGGACCCCAGGGACCAGACCTCCCCGCCTCTGTCTTCCCTCCCCTCCCAGGCCCTGCGGGCAGGGGAGGGCCTTCCCCTCCGCACAGCACACCCGCGGCTCCGGGCGGGCTCCTGAGCGGGATGGGGCTGAGGTCCGGGGTCCGAGGGGTCCCTGAGATGAAGCAGCAGCTGCAGGCCAGGCACTCCCAGCACCCGGCCGCGTGGGGAGCCCGCCCCACCCCTCCCATGCACACTGCGCACCCCACCAGCCAGTGTCTCCAGCCACCACCCCCCGCGCGGGTGTCTGGGGAGGAGGGAGGAGGGATGCGGGCGGGCGGGCGGGCGGGCGGGCCCTGTCACGTGTCCAGCGCGTCGCGCGTGGGCGAGGGCGCGCGGGGGCGGCCGGGCGGGCCGTGTGGGGGAAGTGGCCCGGAGTGGCGCCGCTGCTGCGAGGTCGGCGGCGGCTGCAGCTCCAGCTGGAGCGCGGGCGGCGGGAAGTCGCGCACCTGGCGGCGGTACTCCAGGAAGGTGCAGGCCTTGGTGGCCAGCGCCACCACGTTCTTGCCCACGAAGATGGCCGAGACGCGGCTGTCGCGGGAGAGCGCCAGGCTGGCGGCGCGCGCCAGCACGGCCGCTACGTTGACGGTGGCGAGGCTGAGCACGGGGTAGAGCATCATCTTCTGCGGCGCCACGTGCTCGCCCTGCATGCTGAGCTCGCTGAGCGCCACGCAGGGCAGCACGAGCAGCAGCATGTAGCAGTAGAAGAAGGTGAGGCCCTCGGCCCACAGCGGCAGGCCGGTGCGCGGCGGCTCCCACAGGCCGGCCTGCATGTCCAGCAGGTCCAGCAGGTCCAGCGCCACCCAGAACAGGCGGCCGCGCAGGTCCTCGCGCTTGCGGAAGGTGCGCACGTAGGCCATGCGGTCCAGCGCCACAAGCAGCAGGAAGAGGCCGGGCACGCACACGGACAGCAGCAGCGTGAGCGCCTTGCGCGCCACCGGGTCGGCCGTGCCGCGCCGCGCCGCCTTGTAGTTCTGGAAGACGAAGTAGAGTTTGATCTGCAGCACGAAGACGTAGAGGAACCAGAGGACCATGGCGTAGCCGCGCCGGGCTGTGCGCACCTCGGCGCCCACCCACACGGCCACGTAGCGCAGCACCAGCAGGAAGCATGCGTCGCCCACCAGCACGATGATGCACACGCCGATCTTGCGCGGGCCCTGGCTCTGCTGCACCAGGTAGGCGTCCATGACCGCCATGCTGCCCACGATCACCAGCGTGGTCAGGCACACGTGCCGCCGGTCCGGGGGCGGCAGCACCATGGCGGGCCCCCGCGGGAGGCGAGGCGGGGCGCGGCCCGGCAGCGGCGGCGACGCTCAGCCCGCGGGCATGGCGCCGCCGCGGGGCCCGTCCAGCCGCCCCGAGGGCGCCACGGCTCCCGGCCCGCGAGCTCGGAACCTGGGGAGACCGGAGAGGAGAGGTCAGAGCGCGGGGCGCGGCGTGCCCCCTCCCGCCGCCCGCCGCCCGCCGCCCGCCGCCCGCGCCCCGCGCCCCGCGCCCTCGGCGGCTCGCGCGCCCATGTGTTCCCGGCCGGAGGCGCCGCGGGCCCCCAGGGGGCGCTGCAGCCCCGGCGGAGCTCGCACGCTGCCTCCCGCCTCCGCCCGCCGGAAACGGAGCGGAAGTGGCTCCTCCGCGCCGCGTGCGCGCGTCCCCCGAGCCCGCGGGTCACCCCCGCGGAGCCCACGCCGCCCCCGCCGGCCGAGGCCCCGCCCGAGGCCGTGCCCGCGGGGCCGGGGCGTCCTCTGTCCCCTGCGCCCGGCGGGCCTGCGCCCTGGGGGTGGGGAGGCGGGAGGCCCCTCCTGGGAGCGGGTTTCTGGTCCAGGCCGAGAGGCGCCCAAGAACCGAGGTTCCATCCCACAAGCCTCTGCCCGGCCTGCATCCTCCCGGCCCGGCCGGCCGGGCTCCCCGGGGCCGCCCTCCGCGGCGGGAGGACCGATCTCTCCGCTGCTCCCACCGCCGGGGAGGCGGCGCCCCGGCCGCGGCCCCTGCCCCTGGCCCGGCCTGCACCCCGCTGCCTGCGCCCCGTGGAGCGGCCCGCCCTCCGCCCCCGCACCTTCACGCGGGACCCAGGCAGCCCCCGGGCCGTGCCCGCCTGGGCCGGTCCCATGGGGCCCGCAGCGCGGGCCTCCCGCCCCGGGCACCAGCGGCTGTGGCTGCGCGGGCAGAGCCCCACACCGGCCGAGGGTCGCACCCGGGGCGGCTCACTCCCGGGCCCGGGCCCGCACCCCTCACCCTCCCGAGTCCCTCGCCTCCCGCCAGCCCCCCCCCTCCGCGGCCGCCCAGGCGCTGTCCTGTCTGCCTGGACGGGGACGTACACTGTGAGGCCACCGGGCGGAGCAAGGCTGGGCCCTCACTGACGGGGGACCCCCCGGACCCCGCCTCTCCGCTCGCACCTGCAGCAGCGGGTGCGGCTCTCCCACCCAGACACACCCCCTCTCACCCCGCTGGGCCCAGGGGACCCCCACACGCACCCGGGCCCCTGGCGGCGGCGGCGGCCTGGCCTCTCCTCCCGCGGCTCCGCGGCCAGCGAGCCAGAGGGCCCCCCCCCGCCCTCCTGCCCCCCAGAACCCCGGCCCCGCACCCCGCCCCGCGGCCACGCCAAACCGAGCGGGACTCCCACCCCGGCGGGGGCCCGAAGCCGCCCAGTCCCCGGCCCAGCCCGGAGGGCCTGCACCCCCGCGGCCGCCCAGCCTCCCGCCCCGCAGGGTCCCCCCGCACCCTCCGCCCCCGACTCACTGACGGCCCCGCGCTCTGCCCCCCAGAACCGGCCTCTGTGCCCGGGACCGGCGGGGGGCGGGGAGACCAGGCTGCCGCCCCACAGCCCCCCCAGACCGCGGGCCGCGGAGGGGCCGGGCCGCTCCCGCAGGCTGCGCCCCGCTGCTGCGCCCAGGCCTCCCGCCCGCGCCCCGCCGCCCCCCGCCCTGCAGCCCGCCCGGCCCTCCTCGGCCCCCGCCCAGCTCCGCGGAGGCAGCCGGCCCGGCCCGCACCTACCCCCACCCCCACCCCCGGCCCGCACCTACCCGCCCGGCCAGATGCTGCGCCCCGCGGCCCCGCGCCTCCGCCCGGCCCCGGCCGCCGCCTCCGCGCTCCGCTCCGCGGCCCCGACCCGCCCGAGGCCCCGCCCCGCGCCCAGAGCCGACGCCGCGAGGATGGGTCCGCGCCGTTGCCACGGAGACAGCTCTGCGCAGCGGCGCGCGGGCGGCCTGGGGCGCCGGCGCCCCGGGTCCACGCGGGCCCGGGATCCACCCCCCGCACCGCAGCCCAGAGAGAAACCCGCGGCAGCCCCAGCCCGGACCGCGCGCACGGGTCCCCGTCCGCGGGCCGGCTGACCGCTGGGCCTCTGCGGGGGCCGCGGGGACAGAATGAGCGGCGCGGGGGGCGCGGTGGCCCATCCCGGTTCCGGTGTGCACTGAGGTCCACGGCCCGTCTGAGTGACCGCTGGTGTGACCGCTGGTGTAGGCGCGGGAAGGGGCCTGTTTGGGGACATTGTGCCCTCGCCCTGCCCCACCTGTGCGCGGGCCTCTTTGGAAATCTGTTCACTCTGGGACAGCGCAGCTCCCGTAAAGGAAGAATTGTTTTTAAATATGTTTTTATTGATTTTTTTTAAGAGAGGAAGAGAGGGATAGAGAGTTAGAAACATCAATCAGCTGCCTCCTGCACACCCCCCACTGGGGATGTGCCTGCAACCAAGGTGCATGTCCTTAACCGGAATCGAATCAGGGACCCTTCAGTCTGCAGGCCGACACTCTATCCACTGAGCCAAACCGGTTTCAGCAGGAAGAATTTTTTTAATCTATTTTTAATTGTTTCAGAGAGGAAAAGAGAGAGAGAGAGAGAGAGAGAGAGGGAATGAGAGAGAGGAGAGAGAGAGAAACATCCATAATGAGAGAGAATCTCTGACCGGCTGCCTCCTGCAACCCCACTCTGGGGCTGGAGCCGCACCCCCGGCCTGTGCCCTGACGGGGAATCGAACCCTGACCACCTTCCACGCCCTCCAGAAAACCAATGGGGAAATATCCTCGGGTAAAGATTAACAACAACAAAAAGGAAGAGTCCTGGTGTGGCTCAGTGGATAGAGCGCCGGCCAGTGACTGAAGGGTCCCAGGTTGGATTCCGGTCAATGGCACGTACCTCGGTCGCGGGCTTCTCCCGGGCCTGGGCCCTGGTCAGGGCTCCTGCAGGAGGCAACCCATCGATGTGTTTCTCTCACATCGATGTTTCTATCTCTTTCCCTCCCTTCCACTCCCCCTAAAAACCAATGGAAAAATATCCTCAGGTGAGGGTTAACAACAAACAAACAAAAAATAAATAAAGGTGGTTAATATAAAAATAAAATAAAATAAAATAAAATATCCTCGGGTGAGGATTAACCAAAAAAAGAAAGAACCCTAACTGGTGTGGCTCAGTGGACAGTGCGTCGGCCTGCAGACTGAAGGTCTTGGGTTCGATTCTGGTCAGGGGCACAGGCCTGGGTTTCTGGCTCCATCCCCAGTGTGGGGGCGTGCAGGAGGCAGCTGATCACTGATTCTCTCTCATCATGGATGTTTCTATCTCTCCCTTTCCCTTCCCCGTGAAATAAATGAAAATGTTAAAAAAAAAAAAAAAAAAAAAAAAAAAGGAAGACTGAGGAGCCTTCCAGAAGGAAGGAGAGCAGGGGGAGGGGACACGTGAGCTCACGGCCGGGCTGGGGGAGGGGGAGCCCTGACCATCCTTGGGGAGGGGAGGGGTGGGGCCTGCGGTCATTTGCTGGCTGAGGCGGCTGAGCTGAGGTCACAGGAGAAGGCCAGGACTTGGGGGCCCTCCGGGGGGAGGGTGCGCGCAGCCTGTCTGCAGCAGCTTCTCGGAGGCGGGAGGGTCCGTGCACTTCCGTGTGAGCACACGCCTGCTGCGGGGTATCACACGGGTGTACATGTCACACCCGTGTCACGAGAGGTGGGGAGGGGATGAAACGTGCATGTCCCCCGAGGACGCTGAAGCTGTGGGGACTTCTGCCACTTTATTTGCAATTATAATTATTTTTATTAATTTATTGATAATCCTCACCCGAGATTCTTTTTTTTTAATATATTTTTTATTGATTTTTCACAGAGAGGAAGAGAGAGGGATAAAGAGTTAGAAACATCGATGAGAGAGAATCATCGATCAGCTGCCTCTTGCACATCCCCCACTTGCCCTTGCCCAGAATTGAACCCGGGACCTTTCAGTCTGCAGGCCGACGCTCTATCCACTAAGCCAAACCAGTCCAGGCCCGAGATTCTTTTCCATTGACTTTTTTTTTTTAAGAAAGTGTGGAGCCCTGGCTGGTTTGGCTCAGGAGATAGAGCTTGGGATAAAGGGCACTGCGGGCTCTATCCCCAGTAGGGGGCGTGCAGGAGGCAGCCGACCCATGATTCTCTCATCGTTGGTGTTTCCATCTTTCTCTCCCTCTCCCTTCCTCTCTAAAATCAATAAAAATATATTTTTTCAAAGAAAGAGTGGAGCCGAAACCGGTTTGGCTCAGTGGTAGAGCGTCGGTCTGCGGACTGAAAGGTCCCAGGTTCGATTCCGGTCAGGGACATGTACATTGGTTGCGGGCACATTCCCGGTAGTGGGTGTGCAAGAGGCAGCTGGTCGATGTTTCTCTCATTGACATTTCTAGCTCTCTCTCTCTCTCCCTTCCTCTCTGTAAAAAATCAATAAAATATATTTTTTAAAAAAAAGTGGAAAGGAGGGAAAGACACACACACACACACACACTCACGATTGGTTCCCTCCCACACACACCCTGACGGGGTCAGGAATCAAACCCCCACCCAGATGAATGCCCTTGGCCAGTAACTGAGACCGTGATCCTTCCGTGCTCAGGCCAGTGCCCTAACCACTGAGCACACTGGCCAGGGCTGCAACTATATTTGAAAGAACATTTTAACCCATAAATACATTTCTTCACATTGAGATTAAAGGGGAAGAGGCACCAATGGGATTCAGGAGCTGCTCAGGACTCTTCCAAAAGGGCCCTCAGGTCGCCCGGTGGTTAGAGCATCGGCCGGTGAACCGAAGGGTCTTGAGTTTGATTCCCCATCGAGGTTTGTCCTCCAGCCCTGGTGGGGGCCTGTGCAGAAAGCAACCAATCGCCGTGTCCCTCTGACATTGATGTCTCTCTCTCTCCTCTCCTCCATCCCTTCTACTCTCTAAAACTCAATGGAAAAAATATCCTCAGCTGAGGATTAACAAAAAAAAAGAAGAAGAAAGCCCTAGCCGATTTGGCTCAGTGGATAGAGCATCAGCCTGGGGACTGAAGGGTCCCAGGTTCAATTCCAGCCAAAAGTACATGCCTGGATTGTGGGCTTGGTCCCCAAGAGAGGACATGCAGAAGGCAGCTGATCGATGATTCTCTCTCATCTTAGATGTTTCTATCTCTCCCTCCCTCTCCCTTCCTCTCTAAAATCAATAAATATACATTTAAAAAGAATTGTAAAAACAAGATGCAAAATACGATGAGCTCGATTAAAACAAAGCCTCCGTTTCTGTTCCCCAGGGAAACCACAGGCACATTTTTACCGGAGGACGGAGGGGGGACTTCTGTAACGTGCAAACTGATGAGATTCATATCTCAACCTCTCAGTCCTGCAGAGCCGCGTGGAGACCGCAGGCCGGGCACGTGGCACAGACAGGATGTGGGGGGTGGGGGGGCAGTGTGCAGAGAGGAAGCCCGGAGCTGACGAGCTCAGGTGCAGGGACCAGAGACTCCCTCCCCCCTGTAAACCAGGACGCTTGGCGCCTGCTCACCTGTGACAGGTGGGGGACACGGAGGGAGGCGTGCGGCCCGGGCGTGGGAGCTGGCAGGTGTGGCTGGCGGGTGCCCTCGGCCTGCTCCTGCGTGGACACCCCACGGCCCGCACCCATGGGGCCTCAGGGCAGGGACCGGCCGTGCACACAGCTTCGAGGACGGAGCTTCATCACAACCCTCCGCAGCAAACACAACACCTCACGTTCCCAAAGTGTGTGCCAAGGCACCCCAGGGTGCCGCAGGGCCTGCTCAGGCACTCGGAGGCGGTTTGGATTTCCTAGGGAAAGGCCCCAGGACCAGCCCCGCTAGGTGCCTCGAGTGATTGGCCTGAGCTTGGAGGCACGGCCGAGCAGCGGCAGGCGGGAGGCTGGGTGGCCGGCGGCGGTGACAGGCCGGGGGCGGAGGTGTGCCGGCTGCTGCTCTGTCCGTCAGGGAGGACCGCTGTCGGGGGTTACAGTTTTGTTTTTTCCCAATACGTGCGCTGCTGTTGCTTTGTTTTTGGCCTTTTCTCTGAACTGCCACCTATGACCCAGGAGGCCGCAGTCTGATTCCCAGTCAGGGCACATCCCAGGTAGCAGGCTCCATCCCCACCAGAGGCGTGCAGAGGGCAGCGGGTCCACGCTTCTCGGAGGTCAAATAAATAAAAATAAAAATAGCCAAAGCCGGTTTGGCTCAGTGGATAGAGCGTCGGCCTGTGGACTCAAGGGTCCCGGGTTCGATTCCGGTCGGGGGCATGTACCTTGGTTGCGGGCACATCCCCAGTGGGGGGCATGCAGGAGGCAGCTGATAGATGATTCTCTCTCATCGATGTTTCTAACTCTACCCCTCTCTCTTCCTCTCGGTACAAAATCAATAAAATATAAAAAAATAAATAAAAATGGACAGACGTGGCACCAGCCACAGGGCCGTGAGGACGTCGTGCTAAGAGAAGCCAGACACTGGAGGCACTGACCCGCCTCAGGGCCCTGGAGGAGCCACGTGTGGAGACAGACGTGGTGGTGGGCTGAGCTAGGGAGGGGAGGAGGGGGCGGAGGCTCGGTCTGGGGAGAAGGGAAGCTCTGGATGGCCCAGGTGCGCCCACCCCTGGTTCCTGTGCCATCAGGACACTGTCTCTCCACCCGCCCCCCGTTGCCCCTGGTTACAGGAGGTAAACATTTTGACTCAATTATCTCACTTCCTGTTTCTTCTCCAAGGTGCCTGCCCTGGGATTGAGCTCATTTTTTGTTTTTCCCTGTGATTCACAGTTCCACATCCCCCTCACCATTTCTGTCAGCTACAAACGCTAAAAATACCCCACCCACCCCCACTGGTCTGCACTCTGTGGCCTTTGGAAATCAGAGCCTCCTGGTGGAGGGTCCCATTTCTCTCCGTCTCAGGAAGCCACTCCTCACAGACTGGTCCTCTTCCTGCGGGCCCAGTGCAGCCCTCACCTTCCCATGCTGACCAGTCCCCACCGTGCTTGGTCTCGGCTGGCTGGTGGGGCAGGGTGCGGGCCCTGGGCCGGTGGGCAGGGTGCGGGCCCCGGGGGACAGGGGGTGGGCCCCAGGGCAGTGGGCAGGGGGTGGGCCCCGGGGGACAGGGTGCGGGCCCTGGGGAGGTGGGCAGGGTGCGGGCCCTGGGGAGGTGGGCAGGGTGCGGGCCCTGGGCCAGTGGGTGGGCCCCGGGGGACGGGGTGGGCCCCGGGGGACAGGGGGTGGGCCCTGGGGAGGTGGGCAGGGTGCGGGCCCTGGGGAGGTGGGCAGGGTGCGGGCCCTGGGCCAGTGGGTGGGCCCCGGGCGACAGGGGGTGGGCCCCGGGGGACAGGGTGCGGGCCCTGGGGAGGTGGGCAGGGTGCGGGCCCTGGGCCAGTGGGTGGGCCCTGGGGGACAGGGGGTGGGCCCTGGGGCAGTGGGCAGGGGGTGGGCCCTGGGGGACAGGGGGTGGGCCCTGGGGCGGTGAGCAGGGGGTGAGCCCTGGGGGACAGGGGGTGGGCCCTGGGCGCCAGGTTGCAGGTCTGACACATGACATGCAGCAGGGGGCAATGCGGTCACGTGGACCCTTGGACCTGGGGCAGGCAGGGCACCAGAAACAGCCGCCCATGGGGACCGACCCTGCACCTCCCCCGGGTGTCACGTGGGGAGACGCTCAGAGCCGCAGGGCCACTGGGGTCTGGTCACTGCGGCCTCGGAGGAGCCAGTGCCGTGGGGACATCCTGGGGCCAGGCCTCTCTAAGGTCCCCTAGTGCAGTGTTTCCCAACCTTCTCTCATGATGAGAATCACCGGGTGGAGTTGTTAAAACACAGATTCCTGAATCCCAACTAAGAAGTGCTAAACTAGAATTTTTGAGAACATATAGGTAAAATTGCATACCTAACTTAGTGCTCTGTATCTAAAATCTGTCTTAGAGCACTAGTTAAGTATACAATTTTACCTATATGTTCCCAAAAATTCTAGTTTAGCACTTCTTAGTTGGGATTCAGGAATCTGTGTTTTAACAACTCCACCAGGTGATTCTCATCATGAGAGAAGGTTGGGAAACACTGCCCTAGTGATCGATCAGCCACTAAAGCCACAGGTGTGCAGACGGCGTGTATTAACCAGACTCAGGTGTGCAGATGGTGTGTATTAACCAGACTCAGGTGTGCAGACGGCGTGTATTAACCACAGACTCAGGTGCACAGATGGCATGTATTAACCACAGACTCGGGTGCGCAGATGGCATGTATTAACCAGGTCGGTTGAGAGGTGAGGCGTGTCACAGTGACTCGGGTTTGGGTCCCTGGAACCTAGGCCGTCCTGGCCGATGGCCGTCCCCATGAGGCAGGGTCTCCAGTGAGAAAGCCTTGCTCTGGGTCAGGATGGCTCTGGGCAGTGACCTCATACCGGCAGGGGTGGGACGGAGGGTCAGGGCAGTGTGCAAAGGCCATCCTGAGCCAGCAGTGATGCTGGGACATCAGGGGGCAGAGGGGCGGGAGGGGAAGGGGAAGCTGAGGGATAGGAGGGAGGGTCCAGGCCAGGAGGGTAGGCACAGGCCCAGGTGCTCCCTGGGGTCCAGCCCCACGAGGACAAGGCCGGGTGGGCTCCTGCAGGGCCCTGCTGGCCACCACCTGGTCCGGCCAGGGCCGGGCTGAGGAGCGAGTGCCTGTGTGGTGGGTCCAGCATCACCCCACCCCCTCCCCAGGCCCCACCCGTCCCCAGGCAGAAGCTGATGAGACGGGGTGTGTGTGTGTGTGTGTGTGTGTGTGTAGAACCGGGGCCTAGGAGTGGCCTTGGCCCTGAGCTGGCCAGTGGCTGCAGCAGGTGGGGGTTTTGGATTAGACTGCCGTGGGAAGTGGGGGCCCGCTGGGGGGCCAGGCTGAGGCGCCTGGTCTCCTGGGAGGGGGTTCCAGCAGCGGGCCCGTCCCCGCACACAGACGGCTCTTTGTCAGGGCCCAGCCCCTCCGCCTGCAGCCTCGGGCACAAAGCCGCTCTGTCCACGGTGGCCTTCCCCTCACCGGGCACTGCCCCCCCAGCTCCCATGCGCCCCCGCAGACACGAGGCCCAGGCCCGGCCCAGGTGGCAGGGCAGCCGGGATGAGGGACAGCAGACAGCCAGAAGGCGCCCAGGGCAATGCCTGTCCCCAGGGCCTGGCACCACCCGGGCCACAGGCCATCAGTCACTCCAACACCCGCTCCGCTGCCCCCGCTGCCCAGGGTCCGGGTCCCTCCCACTCCGGGCCCCGGACAGGGACCTGGGAGGGCGGCAGAGGGACGGTGCTGGCCGGCCCCACAGGGCGGTCTCCGCATGTACCGTGTCCTCGCTCCACCCACAGAGCCCACGGCCACGCCCCGCCGTGTCCGACCCAAGGGGGGCCCATGGCGCTCTCACTCCTGGTGGCTGAGGGGCTGAGCCCGTCCAAGCGGGAGGGGCCGGGCCCGGAGCCCAGGGCGCTGCTCCTCCGGGACCCGCCGGCCGCCCCGTGGACTCTGCCCGAGGCCAGGCCTCAGCGTCCGGGCGGCGGGATCCAGAGGAGGCCGGGCAGGGCTCCCGCCAGCCTGGCCAGCTGCTGCCGGCACTGCGCCTGGAGCTGGTGCAGCGCCGCCTCCAGGCAGGCCTCCCGGCTCTTCAGCGCCCCGATCGCCTCGACAGCCCGCAGGCCCGGGCCCCCCGGGGCCCCGGCCTCAGTCCTCACCAGCCGGAGGGGCCCGTGGGGCTGGGGGCCCCCGCCTCGCTCCCAGGCCTGGCGCAGGGCGGCCAGCTCCCGGCCCACGGCTTCCCTCGTGGCCTCCTGTGCAGCCTGCCGTGCGGCGCTCCACTCCGGCCCCTGGCCTCTGACCTGCAACAGGAGACGCCGGTGACCCCGTGACCTGAGGGCCACGAGCAGCCACGGGCCCCGGACACTGGCTCCAGGGCCCTCGCCTCATTGGGCCTGGCACCCCCCACGGGCCCACAGCCCACAGCTCCCAGGGAGCAAGGCCAACCCTGCCCAGCTCTGCATCTCCCCCCGCCCCCTGCACTCCGCACAGCAGCCGTGGGCTCAGCCTGAACCCCCAATCCTGCAGGACCCACGCCGTCAGAACCACCAGCTGCAGGCCCACCTTTCGGGGTGAGCTTGGGGGGCACGACTTGGGGTCCATTTAGATCCCAGCATTCAGACCCCCAGGACACGCACCCCTGGGACTCCCACCCCAGCCCCACGTGCCCCTCCAGGCAGCCCAGCCGCCCATCCTGATCCCAGGCCGGGAGGGGGACACGGGACTGAGGGTGCAGCCAGCTGAGGCCACCGTGCTGGCGGGGAGGCCTCACCCATGTCCCCGGGGAAGCCCCTGGCCCCGACCCCGGGGGTTCCCAACAGGAAAGTACCAAGGGCCCTGAGCTGGGACAAGTGCCAGCCTTTCCTTGTACACAACCCCCTGCAGCTCTGGCCACGTGGCTCAGTGGATAGAGCGTCGGCCTGCGGACTGAAGGATCACAGTCAAGGGCATGTGCCTGGGTTGCAGGCTCGATCCCCAGTGGGGGGCGTGCTGTAGGCAGCCGATTGGTGATTCTCTCTCATCGATGTTTCTCTCTCTCCCTCTCCCTTTCTCTCTGAAATCAATAAAAATGATTTTTTTTTTTGTTTTTGTTTTTAATATATTTTATTGATGTTCCACAGAGGGGAAGGGAGAGGGGCAGAGAGCCAGAAATGTCGATGAGAGAGAAACATCGACCAGCTGCTCCCTGCACACCCCCCACTGGGGATGTGCCCGCAACCAATATACATGCGCTTGCCCGGCATCGAACCTGGGACCCCTCAGTCCGCAGACCGACGCTCCCTCTACTGAGCCAAACTGGTTTCGGCAAAAATATGTTTTTAAAGAGAAAACCCTGCAGATGACAGCTGTCACCAACTTGGGGGGGATGGGCACCTGAATAGCAGCAAGAAGACCAGGCCCCGCCCTCCAGGCCTCGCTGAGGACTTTGTGGGGGCACCACGCCCGCAGTCCCAGGTGCTGGAGGGCCGCCTCTCCCTGCCCAGCAGCAGGTAAACGGGCCCCTGAGATGGGAGCTGGCAGGACAGAGGCTCTGTGCACCCTCCTTCTCCATTGGAGTCTGACCCATGAGCACCCCAGCCACACTCCCATGAACCACGTGAACCCCACACGGTCTGTGACCGCATGCCGGGGGCCCTGCGCCCTCACCCTGGCCGCCCAGGCCGCCCGCCGGGCGCCCACTGCCGCCTGGAGCTCCTCCTGCAGCGCCTGCAGCTCCCACACCGCCGGGTCCCACGCACCGGCCGTGCGCCCGCGCCCTCCGAGACCGGGCGGACACGCGGGCTGCGGGGCCTCCGGGGGGCAGGCCCCCAGCACCGTGTCCTGCAGAGGGAGACCCGCGTGAGGGCGGCACCAGACCAGGCTACACACAGCCCAGCTGGGCAGCTCAGAGCTGGCAGTGAGGGGACCACTGGACACGTGGAAGGAGCCCGGACACAGCTCTGCGGGCCCTCCCACTCCCCACACCCCGGGTGGCTGTGGTTCAGACCAGGGAGGGAGGGAGAAGGGAAGAAGGGACGAAGGGAGGGAGGAGGGACGGAGGAAGACAGGGGGAGGGAGACAGGGGTCACAGGTCCTGACCATCCACTGCCAGAAGACCAGCTCCCGCCGCCACCACTCCAGCGCGGCCCCCAGGCGGGCGTTCTCGCTCTCCAGCCTCCGCAGCAGCTGCAGCGCAAAGAGAAGCCGAGTCAGAGCCCCAGGCATCCCCTCACCAGGCAGCATGAGCCCGCGGTGCCAGCACCTCCCCGGTCAGCCACACAGCAGCGTCCGCAGTCCTGCCCTGTCTGCCTCCCCGCTGGATGGTCAGGGTGGGGGAGGCCGGAGGCCTGCCGTCCCCTCACCAGCAGGGGCCGAGCTTGGAGGACAGAGACGGTCCCTCCCACGGCAGCCACCAGCCCCCTACCTGCCGGCCGCCCTCCGGGTCCCTGAGCAGCTCTGTCTCAGCAACAGACAGGTGGCCAAGGCGGCAGTCGCTGTGGCAGCCACGGGTGTACATGTGGATCTGAAGGAGCAGAGAGCCGGGCTGAGCAGGCCCTCAGCACGTCTGACAGACGAGGGGGCGCGGGGCGCAGAGGGCAGAGGGCAGGGCTGTCCTCGCCGCGGGGACCGACCAGGCCCGAGCCTGCAGAGGGAGGGCCTGAGCAGTCCCCCACAGCTTCTCATCCCACCCAGCTCCGGCTACAGTGGGGTGCAGAGGGCACCTCTGCTTCCTTCCCCCCTCAGTGCGCCAAGAGCCAGGACTGTGCTGCGGACAACAGCCTGTGGACAGGCTCAGTGTCCTGGGGAGCCGATGGTGGGACACGGAGAGCCTGCCTGGGCCTGGGGGACAGAGAGGGCTCCGCAGCCAGGCGAGGCCTGAAGGGGGCCGTGCCCCAGGCTGCAGGAGTGGCTGGAGCAAGGCCAGGCAAGAGGGAGTGAGGAGCCCCAGGGGGAGGCTGGCCAAGCCAAAGACCCCTGGCTGGGGGTGGCATGCAAGCTGGAGGGGTCCCTGACCTCTCAGCCCAGCCACCTCTCAGCCCACACCTGGCCCTGGACCTGGGGGGGGGGGCACCTGTGCCCACTGGCTGAGCCCTATCAGCCTTCAAGAACCGACAGGAACTGCCCCCCGCCCAGCCGCCCACACCAGGACACAGCGAGGTGCCCAGGCAGTGACTCCCCACGCCCAGGGCCCGTCCCACTGCTCAGTGACACCGAACCGAGGCTTCTGGGGACAGAAAGGCGAAGGCCACAGCTGCCGGCCCCACAGGCTCCTGCCCCCCCGCCCACTCCCTGTCCCTGCCATGCCTGTCCCCGCCCGCCCTCGGCTCCTCCTGGAGCACCTACAGCCCTAGGCTCAGGCTCCGGGCAGCTGCCAACCAGTGAGGCCCCAGCCAGGCCTGGAAGGTCTTCATCCAGCCAAAGGCCGAACCCCCAGCCCATGCAGGGCCTGGAGGGACAGGCCACGGGCAGGGGAGGAGCTGGGCAGCCTGGAGTGGTATGGTCACCGCCCGGGTGGACACTCTGCAGGGGACCTACCTTGCCCAGGAGCGCGCACTGCTCCTGCTGACTGGCCATCAGGTTTCGCCACCGAAATCGCAGCTTCCCCATCAGCCACTGCAGGTGGCAGGCATCCACAGGGCCGTCTGCTTCCAACCGCGGGGCAGGCAGGCTGGGGCTGGCCAGGGCCCCACACTGGAGGGGAAAGAGAAAGGAGGCCCCTGAGACTGAGAGCCAGGGGTCCCAGGTGCCAGGAGAGGTGCCAGGCCAGAGCCTATGGGCACGCACACCCTGTCCTGCAGGAGGGGAGAGGCAGGGCCCAGGGCCGGACAGCACTGACCCCCCACACGCAGGGCTGTCCTGAGGGCAGGAGCAGGCCGCACCCCAGGCCTGGGCCACGGGAGGGACGGGCTCACCCCCACCGCACTCTCACCTCAAACGCAGGCAGCTCGTCGCCCAGCCGCACGCGGGTCCGGGCCAGCAGCGGCTCCAGCAGGGGCTTTCGGGCCAGGAGCCAGGAGAGGGCCAGCAGCAGCTCACGGCTGCCCTGGGAGCCGTCGTCCGGGAGCCGAGCCAGCCGGAGCCGGGGGTAGCCCTGGGTGAGCAGCGCCGCCTTCACCCAGCGCGCCTGGGCCTCTGCGGGCAGAAGGCCAGCTCGAGGGCCGCCCCTGCAAGCGGCAGCACCCCGGCCCCTAAGGGACCCCCCCCAAGAGATCCCCCCGAAATCAGGCCCTGGATCCCTGGATGGAGGGATGGGTGGGGGCTTAACCTAAATGAAGTGGAAGGGGCGAGACTTACGGGTGGGCGGAGCCGAGTCTATGAGGCGGAGCTAAATTATGCTGGCGGGAGGGGCTTGAGGGTGGGCGGGGCCACAGCCTAAGGGGTGAAAGCTTCCCCGAAAGCGGGTCCTACCTAGGGGGTGGGCGTGGGCAGGTCCTCTGGGCGGGGCCTGGGGGCGTGATTTGTGGGCGGGGCCAACCCCACCGGGCGGGGCTGGGGCGGGCTTACCCAGGGCGCGCGAGGCGGAGGCGCCGTCAGCCCGCGGCGGCGAGAGCACACGGAAGAGCAGCCGCCATAGTGCGGGCGCCTGCGGGAGAGGAGGGCGGTCAGCGGGCCCGGGGCCTCCCAGCGTCCGCCCCGGGCCCCGCCGGGCCTGGCCGCCGCCCCGCGGGCCTCACCGCCTCCGGACGGTCGAACTTGGCGCGGCGGAAGGTCTCGGGGCTGGGCCCGGCGGGCAGCGCGCGGCTCAGCGCGGCGATGGCCTCGGGCAGAGCCCCCGCCGCGCCCGCCAGCTCCGCCGGGCGCCGCCGCCGCCCCATGCAACCGGCATGGGCCTTGAACGGCCGCGCTCCGCCGCCGCCGGGAGCCCGCGCCCAATCCCCGCCGGGCCTGGCCACGCCCCCGGCCCAATGAGCGGTGCCGCCGGGGGTGAGTGACGTCCGTCCCGCCCGCTGGGAAGGCACTTCCGGCCCAGCCTGAGCCAATCGGCGTTCACAGCTCCGGGTTCGCTTTGTGCGGCCCAATAGCGGCTGCACTTGGCTGCGCGGGTCCAGACCCACCGTCCGCTTGCTCGCCGCCGGGGCGTCAGTGGCCGCCGCCGCCCGGGGCACCCCGGCCGCCGCGAGGGTCGCGCACGTGGGCAGCACCGACCTCCGCGACGCCCTCTCTGGCCCGACCGCCAGGGGCGCTAGGGCCCCGCAGCGCGCACCGGACCGGGCGGCGGGGGCCAAAACCGGGCCCTGGGTCCGCACCTCCTCCCCCGGCAGCTAAGCCCGGCGGCGCTCAGGGCGGGGCGGGGGGGGGACAGGGCTCCGCCGGAAGCCAGAGACTCTCCCCCAAAACCCATGTGCAGATTTCCGACCCGGACCATGCTGTCCGGCCGCCCGCCCAGCGCCCCTCTGCCCTGACCCCGGCGTCTCCTCCCGCCGGCTCCTCCCGCCACCGGAGAATGGAGGAGCCCGGAGAGGGACGAGCGGCTCTGTGCCCGGCGGTGCCGCCCCGGAGCCCGGGGACTGAGCACAGACATGGAAGTCCGGTGGCTTTGCTCACCGGCAGCCCGACACGGATCAGCCAGGCTGGGGCCCCGGGGGCAGTGGCGGCGGCAGGTGTCCGGAAACGCGCGTGAGCAGAGGCAGAGCCCGGAGCTGAGGCCGGGAGGGCCCCCAGGGCCGGCACAGGGGACTGGTGGGTGCCTGGCTGGTCTAGAATGGACTGGCTGCAGAAGTCTGAATGGTTACAGACAATCCACTGTGTCCAGGTGCCGTTATGGCATGTACATGATCCCTCAAAGAAGACAGCGTGAGGGAGGAGGGAGAGGAGGAGAGGGGGAAGAGAAAGAGGAGAAGGAAGTCACTTGACCCCAGCCCTCCCAGCCCCAGCCAAACCCACAGAAAGTGCAGACACGCCTGACCCGCCTTCCTCCTCGTCCTCCCTCTTGCTCGCCTGCCTGCCGGGCATAACCAGCTCTTCACCCACGTTTCCCCATAACTGACCTCCTCCTCCACCAGCCTCCACCTCAGGTGCCCTGGAACCCCCATCCCACCTGCCCGGCTGCACGCCCCAGCCCCCTTTACCTGCTCCTGGCCCCACCACCCGTCCCCTCCCAGGGCCAGCTTCAGCTCAGAGACCAGCACGGGCCTCCAGCCTGGCCTGCCTCCTCCCTCCACAGCAGCCCAGGCCTGGCTGACCCGCTCCCTCTGGCCAGCTCCCTTCATGCTCACCTCAAGGTGCCCCCAGAGCGGGGGGACCCCTGCTGCCACCCAGCGCTGCGTGTCCCATCACCTCGGACCACACTTCCCTGTGCACCTGTGCCCACTCTGTCCCCTCCCAGCCCTGTCAGCCGAGAACTCAGCCTCAAGCCGCCCAGCCATCCCCTCAGCACCCCCAGCTCCCAGCTCCACCTCCACCTCCTAGAATTCAGTGAATCACTCGCTCTTCCTTCTTTTTTCCCTTAAGTCCTCACCCAAGAATGTTTTTTGTTGTTAATCCTCACCCGAGGGTGTTTTTTCATTGGCTTTTAGAGAGAGGGAAACATGGATGTGAGAGAAACACGTCGATTGGTTGCCTCCTGCACTCGCCCCAACCAGGGCCCAGGCCGGGGAGGAGCCTGCCTTTGAGGTCCACGGCCTGGACCCGAATCCAGGCCGCACCCTTCGGTCGTAGGCTGGCGCTCTAACCACTGAGATCCCGGCTAGGGCCCAAGGCTGTTTTTGTCGGTTTTCAGAGGGATGGGGAGGAAAACATCCATCAGTTGCCTCCCATACCATACGTGCCCCGAGAGGATGAAACCCACAACCTAGGTACACACCCTGGGTGGGAATCAAACCCGGAACCGCTGGGTGTAGGGGATAATGTTCCAAACAACGGGACTGCTGGCCAGGCAAATCTCGTCTTTCTGTGTCTCACCCCACACTGCAGGCTGCCCCTCAGCCCCGCCCTCAGCTGGTCCGGCCCCCACCCAGCCCATAGGCCAGCCCTGCAGGAGCCCCACCAAGGCCCTGGGATAGTGTGGGGGGAAGGGGGGCGCTGCCGCTGAGATCACCCCTATGGCTCTTTCCTCAGCAGAGACGGGAGGGTGAGGGGGGGCGTGGGGAGGGCTCTGGGTGGCCAAGTCCGCAGCTGCGGTGATCTGACATGGGAGTTTCCGGAAAGCCCCGCCGTCCTGCACTGTCCTCAAATGCCCCTTCGGCAGCGGGCCTCGGGGGATTCCCGGGCACAAGGTGGGGCCCACGAAGGGCAGTGGTGTCCAGGGCAGGGGGGGGGGGGAGGAGGGAACAAGGTTGGGGCAGGAAGAAGTGGGGAGGGCAGGCGAGGACACCCTACCACGACTCCCCAGAGCCCAAAACCGGAACCAGCATGAGCTCAGCTGACTCACCCTGCACCGGCCTCCCACCCACTCCCACCCCTGGCCTGGTGCTCCCTGACCTGCTGGCTGACCGGCGCCTTCCCCTGGCCGTGGTCCGCAAGCTCATTCGTCAACAGAGCTAAATACCAACGGTACAATGATTGACATTTCTTAAACTTCTTCTAACGCCACTTCTTCAACACAGACTCGCCCAGGCCGTGGTGTTTTGTGGAAGAGCCACACTCAAGGGGCCAAAGAGCTGCAGGTGGCTAGTGAGCTACAGTTTGCCGACCACCGGCCTAACCCAATGGGCCTGGGGCACCTTTGGCCTGAGAGCTGGAGAGCTGAGCTCCATGGTGTCCACCCCCTTCCCTGCAGAGGGGGCACAGGGTCAGGCCCTCCCTCGACCGCTCCCAACAACAGGCACACGCAGGCAGCCTTCCCAGCTGGTTTATTGAGGGCACGGGGTCTGCGGAGGGCTCCCGGAGTTACAGCCGGGCATCAGCCTGGACGGGCAGCAGGTCAGGTCCGGGGGCGGGGCCTCCAGGGCCTGCGGAGAGACAGGGACTGAGGTAGGTGCAGGCTCCACTGGGGACTGGAGGCGGGAGGGGTGGGTGGGGGACCATCCTGAGGGCTAGCTGGTCTGGGGATCAGGGTGGGGGTGTACCTGGGTCTACTTGAAGGTGTGGCTCTCAGCGCCTCCTCTGCCAAAGCCTGCAAAGAAAACAGCATGCCTTTGAGAGGTGGCCAGAGGCCGGGCGGCTGGGTCCTGCCCTGGGGGCCGGGTCAGGCAGGGGGTGGGTCAGGCCTGGGGGTCTGGATAAGGGGGGAGGGGGGCGGTCAGGCCTGGGGGGCTGGGTCAGGCCTGGGGGTCTGGATAAGGGGGGTTGGGGGCGGTCAGGCCTGGGGGGCATACCTTTGGGTCCGAACATGGCGGCGTAGCAGGGATGGTTGCAGTAGGGCTTGCCTTCGTGCTGCAGAGAGAGGCCATGAGGGGCTGTATTCCCCCCTCACCCCCACCCCACCCCGCTGCCCCTCAGCCCCGCCTACCTCGGCATGGCTCCCCGAGGTCAGGGTCTTCCCACACTTCTCACACTTGAGGCAGGGCCGGTGCCAGTCCTTCCCCAGCGAGGTCACCCGCTCCGCTGCGGAGGCAGACAGGCCTGAGCCCGGCTCTGGGGACCAGGGCACACCCTCCCCGCCTCCCCTCCGCCAGGGCCCAGCCAAAGTGTTTTGTTTTTAAATGTTTTTATGCATTTCAGGGAGGAAGGGAGAGGAGAGAGAGATGAACATCAGTGATCAGAATTACTGATCAGCAGCCTCCTGCATGCCTCCTTTGGGCATGTGCCCTTGACGAGGACGGAACCCTGGACTCTTCAGTGCGCAGATGGATGCTCTGTCCACTGAGCCACACCCGCCAGGGCCCCGGTGGCCTTTGGCCCTCCGGTCCCCGGGTCAGTCCACCCCAGGTCAGTCCAGCCCAGTGGATGGGAGGGCCTGGCCCGGGCCGAGGGCGGCGGCCGGGGGTCAGGAGCCTGGCGGTCCGGCTGAGCCTCAGACTCTGCACCCTCTGCACCCGCCCGGGGTGCGGCCGCAGGGCGCCCTCTGCGTGGCTGGGGCACCGCTTTCACTTCCTCCTGCGCCTGAGGGTGGGACCCGGGGAGGGTGGGACCTGGGGAAGGTGGGACCCAGGCTGCAGCGCCAGGGACGGCGCCCGGGACAACGGTTTCCGGGTCTGTTTTCACTCAGCGCGGGCTGGGAGGGCGGCCGAACCCCGCGATCCTTCCGCCCCCCCCCCCCCGTTGGGGTTCCCGCCCAGGCTGCGCCAGGAGGCACCCAGACCTAAAGATGGGGAGACCCAGAGGCGGGAGACGGAGGTCACCCCACGCGGGGGTCCCCACGGCACACCAGGCGGCTGCGGCCGGGGCTGGGCGTCTGCTCCCGGGCGGTTTCCGGGGTCCCAGGCGCCCCCACCCCCCTGAGCGCCCTGGCCAGGGCTCCCGGGTCCGGGCTTCCGCATGGGGCTCGGGGCACCGCGTTGGGCGGGTACGGGGTGTGGGGGGCGCTCACCCCCTTCGCGCACTTGGGGCGCCTGGGCGCGGGGCACGCGGTGCGGGAGTCATGGGGCGCGGGGTGCGGGGGGTGCGGGGTGAGGGTTCGGGTCATGGGGGGCACTCACCGAAGTACACCTCCTTCTGGCACTTGGGGCACTTGGGCATGTTGGCGGCGGTGGCGGCGGGAACGGCAGCGCTGGGACTGGGTGGGTCCCCGCGGGGCGCTCGCCTTTCAGGGAACCTGGGACCCCGCCTCCGGGAGGTCCGCCCCTCGCGCCCCGCCCCCCGATCCCGGGCCGGCACCCAAGGGCCTCACATAGGGAGAAAGGTCAGCCGGGGGCCACCCCGCCCCCGGGGCCGGGACCGCTAGGCTGGGCTCGGGGCCGGGGGCTCAGAGGGGACCGCTCCGGGCACAGCCCCGCCCCCTGCCCTGGGCTGTGAGGCCCGGACGTGCCCGCGGGCTCCCCCGAAGCAGGAAGGCGCCCGCCCCCAGCGGAGCCCCCGGGAGGCGGGGAGGGGGCCGCCGGCGGGATGCGGACAGGTGCGGCCACACCCTCACCCACACCCGCACCCTCCCCCTCCCCGGTGCCGGGGTGAGGCTGGGCCCACCCGGGAGTCCGCCTCTCAGGCCCCCCCCCCCAGGCCCTCACCGCACCGGCGGCCCCTCCGCGGGGCATCCCAGCGCTGTGGCCCCGCACCCCCACCCGCCCTGGAAAACCCACGGGCCATGGGGACGCCCCACAAGGATTCCCAAAAAGGAACTGCAGAGGGGCCGGCCCCTTCTGTGGGGAGACGAGGCGGGGGGCGGGGGCCCCACCTAGGCTGTCTGCAGAGTCCAGCCCGGGGTGGGGTGCTTTTCTCTGGGGCGGTGCCTGGGCGGTGCTGTCCACGTCTGCTGCCCTGGACACGCTGCCCCCGCCCCGGTGCCAGGCAGAGACAGAGACCGGGCCGCCCGCCCAGGAATGGGGTGGGTCCAGGGGCTGGTGCTGGTTCAGGGTCCTGCCATCCTTCAGCGGCCAGGGGGAGGGTGCCGGGGGAGATAGGGGGACCCTCCCTGAAAAGCTTACCCCCTCCCTCCTGGCCGCTCCCTCAGGCCTCCCTCTCCCTCCGCTCCCAAGTGCCTGGGGCCCCCCAACCCCCAGCCCCAGCCATATCCAGGTTCTTGCCTTCACCAGCCCCTCCCGCTGGCCCCAGCTTTCCCTCCCCTCAGCCACCGCCTGCCCGTCCTCAGCCCCCCTACACCCGCCCCGTCCCCCTGGGGTACCGCCTCCCCAGCAGACACTCAGCCCCAGCAGCACCCAGGGTCCCTACCGCCCCCTCCCTGAAGTCCACCTGCCTGCCCCCGGACCTGCAGCCGGCCTTGGGGTACAGGGAAAGCCTGGGTGCCTCCATCTCAACCCCCCCCCTCGGAGACCAGCCTGTGAGGGTGGGAGCCCCCAGGTTCATGGATGATGGAGGCCACACCTCAGAGTCTGTCTAGGAGGCGCCACACTAGACGCCATGCCCCACGGCCTGCACCCCCCCCTCTGCCGGCTCCGGCCTCCCGCCTCCCCAGGACCCCCTCTCTGAGGCCACAGTTCTGCCCCCACTGTGGCTCTGCCAGCCCCGGGTCCCGGAGCCCCTCAGGGGCTGGCTGTCCACTGCCCTTGGGAGTGGGGTGCAGGGGACCCCCAGTCTCCCTCCCGCCCCGCCCCCCCCCGCCCCGGCCTGCTCCCGTCACACGGGGCCCCTCCCTGCCGCTCCCCCAGCTCCCGGCCCCAGAGGCCCAGGCCACCCAGGCCGTCCGAGGCAGCGGGCCTCCCTCCCCTCCTGGCCCAGACCCGGAGCAGCAGGAGGAGGGAGGCGGCCAGGGGTAATGGGGGCAGGGGCCCGGCCGTGTGTGTGTGTGTGTGTGTGTGTGTGTGTGTGTGTGTGTCCTCACCTGTGGGCATACTGTGTGTGGGGAGCATGGGCTCCTCTCAGACCACTCGGCTTCCCATACTTCTGCGCACCCCCCCGCCACATCCCCCCAACACACCCCCACCCCAGCGGCAGGGGGAGGAGGGGAGGGGGCAGTGCAGCAGCGTCCATCCTCCCCCTGCAACTGCAACCTCGCCCTGTGGGGAGGCCCCCCCCGCCCCCCCGGAAAACCTGGGTGATGACTCCTGCTGTTATTGCCTGTTGCCATGGTCACAGGGCGGGAAACAGGGAGAGGGGAGGGGAGGAGGGCCACGGGCCTCGCCCTCTGGTTGGTAGGCGGCGTGGTTTTTCCAACCCTGGACTCTCACACACACACACACACACACACACACACACGGACACACACACACACTCAGGGACACACAGGAGCCCTCCCAGAGCTCCGGCCACAGCCTGGTGTGCCCCTCCGATTCCCCTGAGCCCCCACCTGCCCATGGAGTGGGGACCCCATGCCAGCTCCTGGGGACCAGGGGGACAGCCCCCCCTCCCTCAGACACCATGCCCGTCGGAGGCTTCCTCTCAGCACCCCAGACCGGGGCCCCCCCGGGGCAAGGCCTCCTGCTGGCATCAGGCACCGGCCCAGGACGCCTGGGCGCAGTGCTGACTGGTCCCTGACACAGGACCAGGGCCCAGTTCAGGGCCTTGTCAGGCCCTCCACTCCTGACCCCACTCTTCTGCGGGTGCTATGGGCACATGCTGCAGGAACAAAGGGAAGAACTGAACCCTCACTCACATACCCCATGTGCGGGCCCCCCTTCTTCCCCCCCTGCCCCATGCTCCCAGCACCGGCCCCAGGCCCCAGGGCCTTGTCTGCAGCATAAAGGACAGCATGGCCGTCCTGGCCACGAAGCACCCAGCTGCGCCCCAGGCGGCTCCTGTGCCCAGAACATCCCGCTGCCAGCAGAACAGGAGGGCGGGCACCTGGGGCCCTGAGACGGGGCCGGGAGGGTGGGGGGCGGGCGCGATGCAGGGCCCTGCTCACCCTCCCTCCGCACCCCTCCCCCATCACGGAGGAGGCCGGTGGGGGAGCAGGCGGGCCGGCGGGACCCAGCCTCCGGGAGGCCACAGGCCCAGGCACGGAGGCAGGCTGGGCCGGTGACCTCTGAGGAATCCACCGCAGCCCACGGGGAAAGTTCGGCTCCTCAGGGCTGGTGGCGCGTGCTCCCGCCTCACCCCGAGGCCACACCCGGCGCCCCGCCCTGCCTCCAGGTCTGCCGCCCAGCCGATGAGTCAGGGGTGTGGGCAGGTGTGAGGGTGTCCCTGCTCTGCGCACACACAGTCCACACGTGCCCGGTTGACCGCAGAGCGGGGACCAGAGCAGTGCCTCCGCTCCAGCCCTGCCCCCCGCACCCCCCCCCCAGGCTCAGCCAGGAAAGGGACTCAGACGTTCCCAGGGCCTATTTTCAGCCGCCTGTCTCGGGGGAACCCCTGTCTGCCCCGAGGTCTGGTCCCAGGGTAGGCCTGCAGGCCGGACCCCCCTCTTGGCCCTGAGGCCTGGGGGTGGGACGACAGATGCCCTTTCCCAGAAAGGTTCTGCTGGGGCCGCCAGCCCTCGGCCTGGCCCACTGGGAGGAGGCCTGGCATGCCGAGGGCGGGGCACTGTGGCCTGAGCTCCCTCTGCCAGCCGGGGTCCACAGAGAGGCCGCGGGCACCCGGCCCTCCCCAGGCCCGCCCCACACCGCAGCTGAGCGCGCTTCCAGGAATCTGCATCCTGGAGCCAAAGCCCATGCAAAACCGCCCCGAATTCCACCCTCACAGGCCAGCTGCTGGGCCGCCCGGGCCCTGAGACCCCACAGCCAGGCCAGCTGTGCCCTCTCCCCCGCCCCCAGCCAGGCCGGTCTGGGGAAATGTGCTGCCCACACCTGGCCCTGGAACCTTCAGCCCTCGCCTGACCTCGCCCCCAGGGGCACTGGCACGCAGCCCCCAGCCATAGCCAATGGGCAGCGAGAGGGAGGTAGCCACGCTCCCCACCCCCACCCACCCTCCCACGAAGTCCGGGGGATCCAGTCTGAGCTGCATGGGGTCCACAAGGGGCAGGGGAGGTCTGCCCTGAGAACTAGGGGGCCGCAGGGAACTGGGGCAGTGGGGGCACCAGCCAGGCCCCACGGGCCCAGGTCAGAGGTCGGGGGCCTGGCCAGGCATCATGGGAAAGCTGGGCCAGTGGGAGGTGAGGTTGGGGGGTTTGGGGAGCAGGATGGTGAAGAAGGTCAGGTGGTGTGTGCAGCCCTGGGGTTTGGGGGTACAGCAAGGTGGTGGTCAGACGGCATTTTGGGGCTGCCTCACTGGTCGAGCAGAGACCAGGGGTCGTGCACCTTTTATTTAAAAAAATGTTTTTTTGTTTATTTCAGGGAGGAAGGGAGGGGCGAGATAGAAACATCAATGATGAGGGAGAATCATTGACGGGGATCAGCCCACAATGGGGACATGTGCCCTAACCAGGAATGGACGCCGAGCGCCTTTAGTCCGCAGCCCCGCGCTCTGCCCACTGCGCCACACCGGCCAGGGCCGGGCCTGGACGCGCCCAGGGCGCCGGGAGCCGAGGGGGAAGCACCTGTCTTGTTGGGGGGCCCCCGCGCCCCTCGCCCACGCGCCGGAGACGCTTCGCCCAGCCCCGCCCCGGTTTCCATGACAACCGCTTGGAAACAAACACGGCGGCGTCACTCCGCGCAGGAAGCCGGGCGCGCCCTCCGGCCAGACGGCGGGGCGGGGTGTTCGGGTCCCGGCGACCCCTGCGCCCCCCGCTCCCGGGCGGCGGGGCCCCCCTGCAAGTAGGTCCCGGTCCCCACCCTCACCCTAAACCCACTCCCACCCCAGCCCCACCCTCATCCCCAACCCCCACCCTCACCCCCGCCCCCCAGCCCGCGGCCCCGCGCGGCACGGCTCCGCCCGCATAGTTTCCACTGCGGCCCCGGCCCCGGGGGAGGCCGGCTGCGCCCCGCGGGCCCACCCCGCCCGCCGGCCAGGAATTTCCCGTCGGACACCGGGGCCCGGGCGGCGGGGGGGAGGGGGCGTTGGGGGGTCAGTTCACCCGGGGCGGTGGGCCGGGGTACCCCCCCTCCCCGGGGGGCCGGGCCGGGAGGGGCCTGGCCTCAGGGCCCCGGAGCCGGCGCTCCGCCCCGGACCCGGTGGCTGCATGTCGGACCAAGGGCCCGGCGGCAGGTCCAGCCCGGCCGGGCCGGGGCCGGGGCCGCTGTCTGAGGCTCGGAGGTGGCCACGCCGATGCCCAGGCCTCCGGGGAGGGAGGCACCGGGCCGGGGGGGGTGGGAGGGGGGGTATTGGGGGGGTGGGGCCGGGGCGGAGCCCGGTGGCTGGCCGGGCGCCCAGGGGCGGGGAAGGCGCGCCCTCTGGCGGGGCGCCCGGGCGCTGCAAAGGGAGATCTGCCGCCCGCGGGGGGGGGCTCCCCGGAGCTCCCGGGGGTCAGGATGAAATGGGGAGCATGGCACCCCCAGCCTGGGAGGTCCCCGCCGCCGCCCAGGGACGTGGCCGGCACTGCCCCGGGGCCACCACCGACGCCGAGGCCGGCGGACCGCCAGGCAGCCCGTTGCTGATGGGCGGAGCCGGGTGGACCTGGTCTCCATCCCATCGCAGCCCTCGGGCTTCCAGGCTCAGTCCTGGGCTGGAGGCCCCCCTCAGCCATCCACCCTGCACCACCCACCCCTCCTCTGCTCAGCTGCCCCCCACGTGGCCTGCCCCCTGCCTCTTTACCAAGGCTGACCCCCTACATCTTGGGGTCTCTGAGGGACCCAGGCGGCTCCTAATGCCCAGTGCTGGCATCTCCAGGGGTGCAGGCTCAGCCCACAGGCTCCAGGGGGGTGACCTCGGCCTACAGGGCTCCTCTCCACTTCCAGACCCCAATCCCAGGAGCCCGCCCCCCCACACCCCATCACCCCCAAAACACAGCCTCCCTCCCACCACCAGCCCTGGGCCTGCTGCCCAGAGCCCCCCCCCCCTCGTGCTGGGAGTCCTGGGTGGTGGTGTTGGGGGGAGATGGAGACGTGGGGCCCAGCGATCCTCAAACAATTTATTGAGCAAAAGTCTGCGTTGCGTGAACCACAGGAGCGTGGTGGGCAGTGCGTGGAAGGCAGCGTGGGAGGCAGCGGAGGGCGGCCGGGGCGCGGGGGTGCGGCTGTGACCCCGCGAAGGGAGATAAATAACGGGGGCGGCAGCAGGAGGGGGTGAGGCTGGCCCAGGCCATGGGGACACGGGGGCCAGGAGACACAGGGTCACAGGCAGGGAGGCCCGGGCACAGGAGGGCGGTGCGGGCACAGCGGGCACGCCGAGGGCCGTGGCGGGCGGTCTCTCTGGAGAAGCCCATGGGCGTCCTCCCCCCAGCACGCCGGCCTGGGCTGGGCCGGACCCTCGGAGGCAGGACGGGCGGCTGGCACTGCCCCCTGGGCAGGCGGAGCCTAGGGCTGAACTTTGCCCTCGGGGTCCCGGTCGTAGATGTAGCTGCCCACAGCTCCAGTGTTCACTCCTGTGGAGAGGGCCGAGGGGGTGGTGGGGTGTGGAGGGGCGGGGATGAGGGGGGTGAGGAGGGGGGTGCGGAGGGGCGGAGGGGAGGGGGGTGCGGAGGGGAGGGGGTGCACGGGGGTGGGGGTGCACGGGGGTGGGGGTGCGGAGGAGAGGGGGTGTTGGGGGTGCAGAGGAGAGGGGTGGAGAGGGGGTCGCGGAGGGGAGGGGTGGGGAGGGGAGGTGCGGAGGGGAAGGGTGGGGAGGTGAGCACAGAGGAGAGGGATGGGGAAGGGGGTGCGGAGGGGAGGGGTGGGGAGGGGGGTGCGGAGGGGAGGGGTGGGGAGGTGGGCACAGAGGAGAGGGATGGGGAAGGGGGCGCGGAGGGGAGGGGTGGGGAGGGGAGGTGCGGAGGGGAGGGGTGGGGAGGTGGGCACAGAGGAGAGGGATGGGGAAGGGGGTGCGGAGGGGAGGGGTGGGGAGGGGGGTGCGGAGGGGAGGGGTGGGGAGGGGGGTGCGGAGGGGAGGGGTGGGGAGGGGGGCGCGGAGGGGAGGGGGGTGCGGAGGGGAGGGGTGGGGAGGGGGGTGCGGAGGGGAGGGGTGGGGAGGTGGGCACAGAGGAGAGGGGTGGGGAGGGGGGTGCGGAGGGGAGGGGGGTGCGGAGGGGAGGGGTGGGGAGGGGGGTGCGGAGGGGAAGGGTGGGGAGGTGGGCACAGAGGAGAGGGATGGGGAAGGGGGCGCGGAGGGGTGGGGAAGGGGGTGCGGAGGGGAGGGGTGGGGAGGGGGGTGGGGAGGGGAGGGGTGGGGAGGGGGTGCAGGTCGCACTCACCCTTGGGCCCGAAGAGGATGCCGTAGCAGGGCTTGTGGCAGTAGGGCTGGCCGTCGTGCTGGGGGCGGGAGGGGGGCGGTGGGTCCCCGGACGCCTGTCCCCGCCCGCCCGGCGGCTTCCTCCCCCCGGGGAGCCCGCAGCGCCCACAGCGCCCAAGGCCAGGACCCGGGGGCGGGGCGGGCACAGCGCGGGGCCACCAGCCTCCGCTCTGGCCGCCAGGGGGCAGCCCCTCCGCCCGGCGCGGCCTCGGTCCCTCCGGGCCCAGGGTCCCGCCGCGCTCCTTCGGCCCCGCCCCAAGCCGGCCCCACGCCCGCCGCGGGCCCCCCCCAGGCCCCGCCCCGCCCCGCCCCGCGCCCCCGAGCGAGCCCGTCCCCCCACATCCCTCCCAGGCCCCCCTCCCGCCCCCACACCCCACCCTCCAGCTCCTCCCAGGCCCCTCCCCACCCCGCCCCGCGCCCCCTGAGCGAGCCCGTCCCCCCACATCCCTCCCAGGCGCCCCTCCCGCCCCCACACCCCACCCTCCAGCTCCCCCCAGCGCCCCCTCCCCTCCCCGCCCCGCGCCCCCCGAGCGAGCCCGTCCCCCCACATCCCTCCCAGGCGCCCCTCCCGCCCCCACACCCCACCCTCCAGCGCCCCCGCCCCGCCCCGCGGCCCCGAGCGGCGCCCTCACCTCCGCGTGGCCGCCGGGCGTGAGCGTCTTCCCGCAGCGCTCGCAGCGCAGGCAGGGCCGGTGCCAGTCCTTGCCCAGCGACGTCACCTTCTCGGCTGGGGGGGGGAGGGGAGGAGGTGAGGGGCCGGGGCACCTGCGGGGGGGGGGGGGGGAGGGGAGGAGGTGAGGGGCCGGGGCACCTGCGGGGGGGGGGGGTGAGGGGGAGGAGGTGAGGGGCCGGGGCACCTGCGGGGGGGGGGGGTGAGGGGGAGGAGGTGAGGGGCCGGGGCACCTGCCCGGGGGGGGGGGGGGGCAGGTGAGGGGGGAGGAGGTGAGGGGCCGGGGCACCTGCCCGGGGGGGGGGGGGGGTGGGGAGGGGAGGGGGGAGGAGGTGAGGGGCCGGGGCACCTGCCCGGGGGGGGGGGCAGGTGAGGGGGGAGGAGGTGAGGGGCCGGGGCACCTGCCCGGGGGGGGGGGCAGGTGAGGGGGGAGGAGGTGAGGGGCCGGGGCACCTGCCCGGGGGGGGGGGGGGGGAGGGGAGGGGGGAGGAGGTGAGGGGCCGGGGCACCTGCCGGGGGGGGGGGGGGGGGCAGGTGAGGGGGGAGGAGGTGAGGGGCCGGGGCGCTCACTCACCGAAGTAGACCCGCTTGTTGCAGCGGGGACACATGTTGGGCTCCCCGGTGAAGGTGGTGACGCTGGAGGCTGGGGGGGAAGGGGGGTCAGGGCGGCCGAGGGGCTCCGGCACCCCCCTCAGTACCCCCCCGCCCGCCCCCCCGCAGAGCCCCCCGCCCCCGCCCCCCGCCGCAGGGCCCGCCCACCTTTGCTGGGCCCCTTCGGGGGGCCGCTTGCCTTCCGCTCCTCGGCGCGGGCCGCGGGCACCTCCACGGGGACCGGGCCGGTGACCTGCGGGCCGTCCGCCGCCGGCTTCTCGTAGATGTAGGAGCCGGCGCCGCCTATGTTCACGCCTGCGGGGAGGGGGCGCCGTGGAGGGGGTGGCCGCGCCCTCCCCACCACCCGGCTTCTCAGCCCGGCCGGTGTGGTTCAGTGGTCAGCACCGACCTCTGAACCAGGGAGTCAGTTTGATTCCTGGTCAGAGCACAGGCCTGGGTGGCGGGCTTCATCCCAGGTGTGGGGCGTGCAGGAGGCAGCGGATCCATGATCCTCTCCATCGTTACTGTTTCTCTCTCTCTCTTCCTGACATTTAATATTTTACTGACTTTTTACAGAGAGGAAGGTGGGGAGTGAGAGCTAGAAACATCGATGAGAAGCATCCATCAGCTGCCTCCTGCACATCCCCCTGGGGATGTGCTCTCAACCAGGGTACATGCCCTTGACCGGAATCGAACCTGGGACCTTGCAGTCTGCAGCCCGATGCTCTGTACATGGAGCCAAACTGGCTAGGTCTGCCTGCTGTTTTTATTAATATGTTTTTATTGGTTTCCAGTCTGCAGGCCAACGCTCTACCCACTGGCCAAACCGGTTGGGGCAATAATATATATATATTTTTTTAAAGAAAATGGCTCTTCACGGCCTGTCCCACGCGGCCAGGACCCTCTCCAGGGGCGCGGTGAGCGGGGACGGCCCTGGGATGGGCAGGGAGACAGCGCCCCCCACCCCTCAGCCACCACAGGGCAGCGGGGCGGCCGCCAGGCTCACCTTTGGGTCCGAACAGCGTGGCGTAGCAGGGCTTGTGGCAGTACGGCTTCCCGTCATGCTAGAGGGCACGGGCACGGGCACGGTGAGGGCGGCACGGGCACGCTGACCCCCACCGCACACGCACACGCACACGCACACGCACGCGCACGCACCCGCACGCACACACGCCCGAGCGTGGGGAGCCCGTGCCCCCGCCCGGCCCCATGGCAGGCTCACCTCGGCGTCACACACACACACGCACACACACACGCGTGAGCGTGGGGAGCCCGTGCCCCGCCGGCCCCGTGGCAGGCTCACCTCGGCGTCACACACACACACGCACACACACACACACGCGTGAGCGTGGGGAGCCCGTGCCCCGCCGGCCCCGCGGCAGGCTCACCCCGGCGTCACACACACACACACACACACACACACACACACGCGTGAGCGTGGGGAGCCCGTGCCCCGCCGGCCCCGTGGCAGGCTCACCTCGGCGTCACACACACACACACACACACACACACGCGTGAGCGTGGGGAGCCCGTGCCCCGCCGGCCCCGTGGCAGGCTCACCTCGGCGTCACACACACACACACACACACACACGCACACACACACACACGCACACACGCGTGAGCGTGGGGAGCCCGTGCCCCGCCGGCCCCGTGGCAGGCTCACCTCGGCGTCACACACACACACACACACACACACGCGTGAGGGTGGGGAGCCCGTGCCCCGCCGGCCCCGTGGCAGGCTCACCTCGGCGTGGCCGCCCGGCGTCAGCGTCTTGCTGCAGCGCTCGCACTTCAGGCAGAACTTGTGCCAGTCCTTGCCCAGCGAGCTCACCTTCTCGGCTGCGGGGAGAGGGGGTCAGAGCCGTGCCCCCTCTGCTCCTCGGGGCCCGTGCCCGCCCCCTGGCCTGGGTGCCCTCCCTGCCCGGGCTGTGAGCTGGCGTGTCCTGCCGGTCCTGCACGCCCACCTCCTCACACATCCCTGACCACTCCGCCCCCGGGTCAGGCTCGGATGGAGCTGGCAGAAGCCCCAGTCCAGGAAGGCGCCCTGGGCCTCCAGTCCCCGAGGGGAGGCCAGTTCCCACCCCCCTGGGGGAACCCCGAGGGGCAGGACGCCTGCCTGTCTGCATTTGGCCCGAGAGTCCCCACCCCACTGCCTCCAGCTGCTGTGTGGGGCCCGGGGTCTGGGACCAGCTGCTGAGGGTCGGCTGGGCACTCACTCTCCCATCCCCCGCCGCGGTGCGGGGCTGCTTGGCCAGCTCCTAACGGAGGGGAGTGGGGGCGTCCCAGGGCGCAGGCAGGAAAAGGGCCAGGAGAGGCAGGAAACAAGGCCAGGGACCAGCGGAATTCCGGGAAGGGCCTGGCCCACAGCGGGGAGCTGGGGGGGGGGGGGCCGGCTGGGCCCTGTGCCCCGGGCGGAATCTGGCCGGGGACCAGCAGCTCCGTCAGCCTCACTCAGGGGTGATGTCCGGGCCAGGCCTCCCTGAGGGCCCAGCAGCCTGGGAGTGGGGCCCCCCTGTCCTCCCATCCCCGGGGCAAGGCGGGAGCTCAGGAGCCCAGCGCTGTTCGGTCGCACCAGCCCAGTCCCCGCCCAGTGCCCCTGGCCGGGTGAGGGCCACCACCGCCACCTGCAGCTGGGCTCTGGGCAGGGGATGACCCTTAGACCCAGGGGCAGGTCAACAGCCGCACACCCCTGGCCGGGCTGGGACGACAGGATCCCAGGGCGTGGGGAGGCACGGCACCCCACCGGGCCGCACCATTGTTGGGGACACAAAGGCACAGGGTCTCCGGGTCACTCCTCATGTCTGGCCCCGTCCCGCTGGGCTCACACTCAGGTGCTGGCCAGGGAGGAGGGGTGCTGGGTGCAGCCTGCTGGGCGGTGGGCAGGACCCCGGCCCCGCGGCCCCCTCCCTCCCTCCCTCCCTCCCTCCCTCCCCGCCACCCCCTCCCGGCAGGACAGCCGCCAGCGGGTCTGAGCGCCTTTGTTTCCTGCTCTGAGCGGCGGCCCAGGCTACAGCATTTTTCCGCCTCGTCCTCAGGACTGTCCACCCTCAGGGGCAGCTGGGGGGCAGAGTCGCCGGCAACGGGGCGGGCGGGAGGACCCGGACCCGTCTCCCGCCCGGCACCGCCCAGGCAGGAGCCCCGCTGGGCCAGGACGGGGGCCGAGGGCTCCTGGGAGGCCGGTGGCCGGAAGCCCCTAGGCTCCCCGCCAGGCCAGAAGCTCTCCAGGCCAAATCCGGTCCCTCCCTCTGGGATCGGCAAACAACCGCCGGCAGCCCGCTGCCTGGGCCCGCCAGCAGGGAGGCCAGGCCGCTTCCTCCACTCGGCCCGTCCCCACCCGGGCCCTGACCACGGCTCCAGGGCCAGGGAAGGGGCCCTGGTCTGCCCCACCCTCTGGCCACCCTGCCCGCTGGCCCGGGCTCCCCATGTGCGGGCGGTGGGAGGGGCGGGCAGGGACTCGCCCGTCTGGCTGAGGCGGGGCTGGGATGGGAAAGGGAGAGGGAGAGGGTGAGCGCGCCCGTCGGTGGGTGCGCGCCAGGGGTCTGTCCGGGCCGGCCAGGGGCGCAGGGGGGCAGCTGGCCGGGCTCTGGGGCCGCTCCCGCCCGGGGACCCCTCCACCCTCTCCGCCGTGGGAAGCGCCGGGGCCTCGCGCCGAGGAGGGCGCAGGCTGGGGCACGCGGAGGGAGAGGCCGCGGTCGCCCCCGCGTGGACCGAGGCCAGAGCGAGCCCGGATCCGCCCGCCCCGCGTGGGCTGCGGTCGGGGCGAGGGCTGGGGCCCTGGGCCACGTCGGCCGGGCCATGTGCCGCGGGTCGGCGAACCGGGCGGCGGGAAAGGTCCCAGGAAGTCCGGAGAGCGAGGGAGGCGGCGCTCGGAGCACCGGACCTGACCCGCCCGCGCGCGCTCCGCTCGGCGCCTCCCCGGGGACCGGCCGCTCCCCCCCTCCGGCCTCGTCCCGGGGTCCGCGCGCGCCCACCCCACCGGCCGCGGCTGGGCTCGGGCGTGGCCCCGCGGGCGCAGCTCCACGCCGGACCGCACCGGCCGCGGCGACTCCCCTGGGGCGGCGCATCCCGGGGCGGCGGCCGGGCGTGCAGGCGCGCGGGGCTCCGGGGGCGCAGGGCGCACGGGGCTCCGGGGGCGCGGGTGTGGGGTGCGGGGTGCGCGGTCCGCGGCCCGGCACTCACCGAAGTACACGGTCTTGTCGCACTTGGGGCACTTGGAGGCCATGGTCGTCGGTGCGCCCGGTCGCTCGCGCCCTCGGCCCGCGCCCGTCTCCGCGTCGCCGCCGCCCCGGCCGCCCCGCCCCCCGGGCTGCCCGCGCGCCCATTGGCTCCGCGGCCGGGGCGGGGCGAGGGGTCCCGCCCCCGACTCCGCGGCCTGGAGAGGGGCGCTGCCGGGCGGGGTGCACCTGCCAGCGCCGGGCGGGGGCGGCTGGACCTGCCGGGGCCCCCCGACCGCCCGGCCCCCCGGCCCCGCGCACCAGGCGGCCGCCGCCCGCTCGGACCCGCCGCGCCTGTTCCCATGACAACGTCGGGGCTGCGGGCGGGGCGGGGCGGGGCGTGCGCGGCCCCTGGGTTCGGGGGAGTCCTGGCCGGCGGGGCGCGGGGCCGGAAGGGCGTCCCCTGGTCAGGCAGACGGACGCCCGGACGGCAGGCCCGCCCGGCCAGGCACCCGGCTCCCGCCCTCGCCCTCCGCGCGCCCCTCGTCCCTTTGTTGCTCGGTTTCTATGGCAACGGCCGCGCGGCGGGATCCGGATTCCTGGCGGGTCCGCCACTGGGCCCAAGGCGGGTCCGCCCCACCTTCCCGCCCCCCCGCACCTCCTCACGCCGCCCCCATCCCCCGCGCTGTCCGCGGTGCCGAGGGCGCGGCGTGGAGGGCAGGGCGCCCACTTCCAAAAACAGCGAGAGAAGCTGCTGGAGGGCGGGAGGGGCCGGCTGGGCGGAAGGTGTATGTGCCAGGGGTGGGGGTGGGGGTATAGGGAGCGCGGAGAGGGCGCCCTCCGGGAATTCGCCCCGCTCCGCTGGAGCTCGGCCCGCGCACCCCTCTCTGCACCCACCAGCCTCCGCCTCGCGGCCTCAGAGTGTCCTCGACCCCCCCCTCCCCGCCCCAGGGAAGAGGGAGGGGGGAGGGGTGTGGGGCTCCGCAGTCCTCCCCCTACGGGGGCTGCTGGCCACTCGCAGCTCCCCGCCTCCCTCCACTGGAGCCTGCAGGATCCGGCTCTAACTCACCGGCGCTCCCACCCCGGGGGGCACCTGGAGGACCCTCCGACCTCCTCCCCGGGGTCCCCTCACCATAGGCCCCGCTGAGCCTCAGCCTATCAGATGGACAGACGCCCTCCTCAGGCCCTCAGTGGTCCCACAAGGGCCCTGCCTGCCTGGAGACCAGCCGGGGAGTTTGCCCAGCCTCCCAAACCCCCCGGGTTCCTGGCACCCTGCCCTGGCCCAGCTCCTTGGGGTGGCCACCCCTCCCCCACCCCCACCCCCACCCTCCAGCCACTGAAACACAAGATTCCCCGGAGCCCGACCGACCAGCCTGACCAGCCCCGGTGCCCGGCCCTGGCCCCATGCCAGCCCAGGCGGGCAGACAGGAGCCTGGGGCTCCCCTCCCCGGACGGGGGCCAGCTGCAGGGCTCCCCCAGGTCACTCATTCTCGGCCTGCTCCTTGCTCAGGCGGCTCCAGTGTCTCTGAATAATTTAGCTCCTGGCCCGGGGCCCGCCCAGTGGCGCCGTTACTGTGCCCTCTCCACACAGAGCCCCTGGCCGGCCCCCTCCCTCCTCCATTCCACCGACAGGGCAGACTGACCAGGTGGAGGCGGCACAGGGGTCTGGGGGGAGGCGCGGCCCTGCCTGAGAGCGCGGGCGGGTCCAAGGAATGGCATCCGGCCTGGCCACATGCCCCAGAGCGAGGGACAGGCCCCTGCTCCCCCACCGGCCGCCTCAGGCACCAGGGCTGTCAGGCCCGGTGGGCAGGTCGCTGGTCCATGGACACAGAGCAGCAGCGTGCACCTGAGGCCACCGAGGGGGACGGGGACGGTGGGACAGGGACAGCGAGGTTCGGAAGAGCAGGCGGGCCCCGAGGCGGCCAGGCCAGGCATGGGCAGATCCCTCCCCTGGGACACATGGCATGACTTCGCCCGGATCTCGTCATCCTGTGCCCCGTCGTCCTGGCAACGTTTGCACATAACAGGATCCTGGTCTCAGCTCTGGCTGAGGGACCCAGGCTGGGCTCCCCGAGGGTGGGGGGGCCTGGCAGGTCTCCAGGCAGGCAGGGCCCTCGTGGGACCACCCTAGCCCCCCGAGAGGGCCGTGCCCCGGGGGAATGGGGCAGCAGCCTAGAGGAGCCGGGCTCCCAGGGGCGGCACGCCCGGCCTTGCTCCCCAGTGTGTGCCCACTCCCCATGCCTGGGTGGGGGCGGGAGGTGTCCTCAGGGCCTGCCTGCAGCAGGGAGGGGCCACCTCGCTCCGGCCCGGGCCCTGGAAGGCAGCAGGCAGGGAGCACCGCAGCCTCAGGGGGCAGGGCTGGGGTGCAGGCCCCGGGCAGAGCCGCACCCTCCCCCGGGGAAGCTCTCAAGGTCACCTCCTGGTCTCCGTCTGGGCAGCGGGGCTGGGGGCAGGGCTGCAGCGTGGAGGTGGCGGTGCAGGGCCATCCGGCGACACCCCGGGCTGTCACCCGGCGTCCATCACAGGTCGTCAGCGGGAGGCTTTATCTCCCAGCGGCTTCTATTTGCAGCCCAGCGAGGGGTGCCTGCCTCCGCCCGGTGAGGTGAGGGGGAGCGGGAGGCGGGGCCAGGCGGGGCGTGCGGGGTTGCCCGAGGGCGGGTTTCTGAGGACGCCCTTGCTGAAATCTGAGCAAATTCTCACCGGAAACCCCACACCTGCTGGGGTTGCCCTGTGCTGTGCAGCTGGACAGAAGCCTGGACAGCTGGGCAGGGCTCTGCCAGGAGCAGGCGGGGTGCTGGCTGCCCCATGGCCACGGTGTGGGGGGCCCTGGACGCCCACCCTGCCTCAGACAGCGTCCACCCACCCTGAGGGCCCCGAGTCCCTCTGGAGGGGCTGCTGGGCCAGGCCCCGAAGGAGGCGGTGTGGGCAGCGGCGGGGAGAAGGGGGGAGGCCAGGGCCACCACTGCTCCCGGGCCCCTCCTCCCCGCAGGGCGAGCCTGGGCCTGGAGCCGCCCCCACCTCGCGCACCAGGTGACCCCACACGGCCTCTCCCTCCTGACCCGCTCCTCCAGGTGCAGGGTGGGTGGGGGTGGGGCTGGACAGGGAGCAGGATAGAGACAACAGACAAAAGCAGGTCTCCTCTTTTTTTTTTTTAATGAGTTTTTTTCTTTGTTTTTTTTTAATATGAAAATTACTTGAAAAGACAATGGACGACCCGCCAGGCAGCTGGGCCGCCGGCCGTGCTGGCCCTGGCGTTCCAGGCGTAAGGTACAGAGCTTAAGTTCATCTACAAAAAAAGTAATAAAAATAAAATTTAAAATGGCACCTTCAACAGAACAAACACGACTCCGGCCGCCGGACGCACGTGTGTGCGTGGCTCCTCGCTCCTCCAGCCAAAAAGGAACACAAAGCTAAGAACAGTCCCGCGGCGAGCTGGCCACCTGCCCGCGGGCCGGGCAGCTGCTCTGCGGGCAGGCGGGAGGGAGGGCACTACCAAAACCGGGCGGCGGCGGGCGCGGGCGGGCGGGCGGGCGGGCCGTGTGGCGCCGGCGGCGGTGGGCGGCTAGTCCTCGATGACGATGGGCTCGTCGTTGATGGGCGCGGCCGGGGGCGGCCGGGGCGGCAGGGCCTGGCTCTGGCGCAGGGCGATGGGCTTGTACGGCCGGCGGGCGGCCCGCTTGGTCTCCGAGGACGAGAGCAGCTTGCGGATTTTCCTGGGAGTGCAAAGCGCCAGTGAGGACGCACGCCACCCCCAACACACACACACACACACACACACACTCACACATCCTCACAGGATATACACACAGGACACTCACACACACAGAGGACACACACAGACACACACACCCCACACACACACACTCACACAGACACACAGACACGCGCACGCACACACCCACACAGGACATACACACACACAGGACACACACATTCACACACACACACACACACACACACAGGACATACACACAGAGGACACACACAAACACACACACAAGACACATACAGGACACACACACACACCCTCACACACAGGACATATACACACAGGACACACACACACACAGACACACACACCCTCACACACACACACACACCCTCACACACAGACACACACTCTCACAGGACACACACACACACAGAGGACACACAGAGGACACACACACACACACACACACCCCCTCACAGGACACACACACACACTCTCACAGGACACACACACACAGAGGACACACACAAACACACACACAAGACACATACAGGACACACACACACACCCTCACACACAGGACATATACACACAGGACACACACACACACAGACACACACACCCTCACAGGACACACACACACACACAGAGGACACACACACACACACACACACACCCGGGGCCGGCCCACCTGGTCTCCTCGGTGGCCATGTAGAACACGTCGTCGGGGGCGTCGATCCAGTTCATCCGCCGCCGCTTCACGGGGGGCAGGGAGCCCCCCCGGATGAGGCGCACTTTGGTGGGGTACGACTTCCCGTTGAGCAGGAGGTTCCGGCTTGGTCCCTGGGCGAGGGGAGGTGTGAGGGGCGTCCCTGGGCCTCAGTCTGCACCCCAACACTCCCAGGGGCGGGGTACTCTGAGGGCCCAGGGCGCCCCGGCCTGCCCTCCACTGGTCCTCCTCCCCAAGGCCCCAGGCTGTATGTGCACACGCGTGCCCTCCCCCTTACCATGTGCCTGGTCTGTCCGTGGTTCGTCAGGCCTGACAAGAGGGGGACAGAACGTGAGGCTGTGGCCGGGCTCCCCCTGAGCGCCTCGGCTGCCTGGGGAGGCAGGCCCCCCCCCCCCCCCCGAGGCCTGGGACAGGCGCCTCAGGGGACCCCAGCTCCCAGACTCCGAGGGCGTCAGCCTCAGCACCACAGCCGCCCACACGCAGGCCGTGCCGCGGACTCGGCTGGCAGAGGAGGCAGCTGCCGCCCCGGCCCGCCCAGCCCAGCTGCCCGCACGGGCACAGACCTCACAGAGGCCCCTCCGCAGCCACCACGCCCAGACCCAGTGGCCGCTGCCCCACTGACCAGCTGGGGGCTGGAGCCGCCAGCTTCCGCCAGGAGCCAGGACGGGCGCCTCCCAGGCCACGCCTGCCCGGCCTGCTACACCCGAGGCCCCGGGCTCCAGCGATGTGGGTGAGAACATGAGCAAAATCAGGCCAACACGGCCTCTCTCTGCCCACATGTTCATCGTGTTTGTGTATGAGAGCGTCCATGCATGTGAGTGTGCCCGTGTGTGTCCATGTGTATGAGTGCTCATGTGTGCACCTGCCTATGTGTGTGTCCAAGTGTATGAATGTCTGTGTGTCCGTGTGCCCGTATGTGTGCGAGCATGTCAGTGTGTATGAATGTGCCCATGTGCATGTGTGTGAGAGCATGTCCGTGTGTATGATTGCCCATGCATATGAACATGTGTGAGAGCGTGTCCGTGTACGATTGCACGTGTGTATGAGTGTGTGTGTGTGTGTGTGTGTGTGTGAGTGTGCCCGTGTGAGAGCCGGCCCCGGCACTACTTACCCAGGTAAGTGCCTACCCAGAGGGACGGGTGCGGAGAGAAGAGACACTGAGCGTTAGGGTGGGCACGTGCGCGTGCAGGGGCGGGCGGGGAGGGGACGCAGAGCGAGGGGCGTGGGTCAGTGAGGTACGGTCCCAGGGGGCCGGCCCCGCCCAGCGCTCAGCCACAAGCTTGACAGACGCCACGGAAGCACCCAATTTTGGAAAAACCCACAAGTGCACACGGACTCCACGCGCCTCTTGTTAATGGCCCTCACACGACAGCCCGAAGCCCAGGTCCCGGGTCCGTCAGGCACGGGCCCGCTGGGCTCCTGGTGCAGCGGGAGGGGTGCCAGGGGACGGCTGGCGGGTGGCCCCCACGCCACAAGGTGCTGAGCCCGGACAAGCCCGCCCAAGGTGCCAGGTGCCACCGCCCACCCAGGGGGCTGGCAGGAGCTCAGGGCACGTTCCCCAAACCCTCCCGTTCCTTGGCTCCGTCCGCCCCGTGGCTGCTGTGTGGGCTGACCCGGCCTGGGCTGGCCACTCCCCAGCACAAGGTCCCCGCCCAGGCCCACGGCCCACGGCCCTCGGCGCCCTCCTGCAGCGGAGGGCAAAGGCAGGGCCTGGACCTCCAAGAGCCCCCGAGGCCACTGCCAACCCCACGCACGGTGAGGACCCCACGCGGCCCTGTCCCGCCCCCGAGGGCGCCGACGGTGCCACCTGGGCCTGGCAGCCCTCCCCGGCCACGCCGACCGCACCCACAGCTCCGTCCATCACCCCCCAGGCAGGGCGCACGCCAGCGGCAGACAACACGGCGACCACGAGAGCGGGGCTGCGGCATGCGGCAGTCACAGCGCGAGGCAGGCAGGCAGCGCAGCGGGCGCGGGCGCGGGGCGCGGGGCGCTGGCGGGGACGGTCCCGGGCCAGGCGCTGCCCGAGGGGACGCCTGAGGGCGGAGCCCTGGGCGCGGAAGCCCCGGAAGCACCGAGCTCTGCCAAACGGCAGGTGGAGGGGGGGCCGCGGCCTGGCCCCGGGACTGCCCCGCGGACGTGCCCCGAGCCCCAGCCACGCCACGTGAGCAGACACACAGCCCGCGCAGCGGCCGCCCAGGCCTTACCCCTACTGGGCATCAAGAGGCGCTTCTTCATGGTGCCTGGGGCGCCCGGCGGCAGGGAGAGAGGAGAGAGAACACGGTCAGCGCGGGCGGGCCGGGCCGGGCGCGGGGCGCGGGGACGGGGGCGGGGCCACGCCCGCGCCGGCCGCCGCGGACTCACCGTCCACGCCGTTGTGCTGCTCGTAGCTTCTCTTGCCCAGGATGGTGGGCGAGCCGTTGTTGATGACGGGGGCGGACCTGGCGGGGGTGAGGCCGCCCAGCACCCCGGACACGCTCTTCCCGGGGTCGGGCTTGGGGGGGCGGGGGTGGGTCTCTGCGGGGACACAGGAGGCTTTAGTGCAAGAGCCGGGCACCCCAGGCCCCACCCGGACCTCGGCCGACCTCGGCCGTGCCCCCGGAGGACGCCCCACCCGGCGCCCAGGCCGCCCGCACCGCAGCCCGCCGGCGGGCGGGAGCAGACTGCAGGCCCGCCGGAGGCTCCATGTCTGGCCCCCGGGCTGCTGGCCGGCTGGCCCCGGGCCAGAGGAGGGTGAACAGCCCTCCCCCACTGCCGCCTCAGGAGCCGCCTCTCAGGAGCCGCCTCTCGGGAGCCGGGCCGGCCGGGCGCAGGGCCACGACCCCGGAGCGCGGACGGTGCCAAGCCACTTGGTCTGAGTGGGCACACTTAGCTCAGCGCTCTGGAATGTCCTTCAGGCGGAAAGTCACCTCCACGGCTCAGGGGCCCCCGGAGCCGGCCAAGCACGGGCCTGCCGTCCCCAAGGCCCACGCCCGGCCCCGTGGGCAGGAGGCTGACGGACGCGCCAACTGAGGGGCCCAGGGCCCCAGGCCACGAAGGCCCTCCTGTGCAGCTGCCCATGCCCTGCCCAGCACGCCTGCCCTCGGACCCTCCTCCCCTAGGCGGCCACAGGAGGGCCGTCCCGGCTGGGGGACGAGGAGGGGATGGGAAGGAGAGGAGGGGACGGAGGAAAGGGGGGCGGGAAGGGGACGGAGGGGAGGGGTGGGGCAGGCTCACCGAGATAGCGAAGCACGGCTTCTAAGGGCTTCCGCACGGCCTGCTTCAGCACCAGCGGGCTCTGCGAGGCTTCAGGCAGCCGAGCCGTGCCTGCGGGGCCAGCAGTGTGGGCGCCATGCGGGGGCGTGTGCGTGTGCGTGTGTGCGTGTGTGCGTGTGTACCAGGGACAGCATACCCTGGCCCACACCCCTCCTGCACACACACCCTCCTCCTGCACACACACACACACCCTGCACACCCCACCCTGCAGCCCCTCCCGCAGGGTGGGCTGGCCGGGCGCGCACACTCACACTCGGCCTTGATGGCGGCGCTGTTGATGGGCAGGCAGGGGTGCCGGGCGGCGTGCCAGGGCCGCAGGATCTCGCGGCACAGGCGCCGGGCGATGCGGGTGAGCTTGGTGGTGTGCAGGTAGAAGGCCTGCCTCGTCTTCATGGCGAACTTGGGGCTCCCGCTGCTCCGGGCTGGGACGCCGTGGGGGCTCTGCGGAAGGGGGCGCGCCGCCCCGACAGACACAGCGCCATGACCGCGGGCCGCACCCGGGCCCGGCGCGGGCGGGGCGGGGCCCACTTACCATGTTACTGCGGTTTGGGCCGGGCCTCTCTCCGTCTAGGCGGGTTGGCATTTTCAAGCCACCATATTTCTTCCAGTACGTCCAACAGGACGCGCAGAGGCGACACTGCATGGTAGGGGGACCCCAAGAATACCACTGGTAAGACTGGGCGGCTACGGACAACAAAGTTGGAAATAGACGGATTCTTAAGCAGAACCGGCGACGGCAGAGGGCACCACGGCGCCGCCCGCCCGCCGCACGCCGCTGTCCCTGCCCGGGGTCCCCGGGCGGCGTCCCGCGAGGCGGAGGCTGGGCGCCGCCGGGACTTACTGTAGCAGCTCTCGCAGGCC